TCCGCCGGGCAGTGACTCGAAGGAAGGAATGCTGAAGCGGAAGCAGAGAAGATACAGGACTACCTTCACCAGTTACCAGCTGGAGGAGCTGGAGAGGGCTTTCCAGAAGACGCACTACCCCGACGTATTCACTAGGTACGTTTTTTTTTGTTAAGCCGGGGGAAAATGCTGCGCAATTCTAAAATGTTGTGGTCCCTAAAATTATTTTTTCAACTATATTAGATATTTTAGAAATTCTGCATTTTATGTCAAACATTTAAATAAAAAAAATCGATGTCAATTCAAATTGACATGCATAATGTATATATTTATAGACTATTCTACAACAATAATTGTCATGTATTTTTATTATTATTAAAATTATTATCAAGATTATTATAACGTCTTACGTCTCAAATAATAGACACGTATTAAAACACAAAACATTCAGGGTGTTCTCACAAATATTTCATGGATGAACGTTATAATTAAATCCGTGTATATTTAAATAAACACATCCCCATACAATTTCCCTATAATTCTCCCAGAAATTCCACACTATTTTAACAGGAAGCCCGTTGCGGACCCCACCTCATAAATTGCACCAACAACAAACCCGTGCGCTGGGTGTCCACAATGGGGACGTTTTGCATCCGCTCCTGTTCACTGTCTCAACAGAATAACAGAATAACAGCGCGGTGTTACTCTCGGGGGGAATAATTCACCGGCTCAGGTTTCCCGCTGGACAAGATACTGAACACAGTCTGCAAAAAAAATAAAACAATTATAATTACTCAGGTCCTGACCTCAAGCCTCAAGGGCACGTGCACCTTTTGCTTCGTATTTTTTTTTCCACGTGCACGCACTAACTAGAAGGGCTTTTTGTTATTCAGCAGGCTTTTATTGCTTTAGAATCCTCTAGGGATTTTTATATATCAAATAAAATTAAAATCTATAAATGAAACATACTATATAAGGATTTTGATCATTGATTCATCCGCAATGTGAGCTTTTTTGATTTGCCGCCGGGATCGATTTACTTAAAGGCGACTTGTTGGTCTAATATACACTGCAAGCCCATCTCGCGGCTGAAGGCAGCGTCAATTGCTTTGTGGCGGGCTAGTTTAGATGTCATTATTTCAGCCATTATGTTGTTACAGTGACAGGCCTGTGCTAAGGAAAAGTCTACCAATCACTAGGCCCATTTCTACCCATCCCTGACAGGGAAAAATAGAATATGGCTATGGTTAAAAAAAAATAAAAAATAAAAAGCAACCCTATTTTCGGTGGTCTATTGTTGACAGTGAACAACAGGAGGGGACAAAACAGCAATTCTTTGATTCTTCCAAAACAGCGGCATGTAACCTTGAATCCTCTTTCTGTCTCTCTGCTTCTTTCTTTCTTTCTTTTAATATTTTTTTCAGAGAAGAGCTCGCGATGCGTCTGGATCTTACCGAGGCCCGTGTTCAAGTAAGTGGCTCTCTTGTTTATCTTTATCTGAAAAGAAAAGCCTTTGACTTGTAAATCAAATAGGGAGCGGGAGAGAGAGAGGGAGGGAGAGGGAGGGGAGGGGGGGCGCTGCATTCCCTAATGTTTTATGTCCTCTATAAAATGCCCCTGTCACACAGTGATGGATAATAACCGGTGATATGCGTCACTGATTGAGGATCAGCGATTACGGGCCAATTTGAGGCAGTAATTTATATAACAGTAAAAAAAAAAATCATAATAATAAGGGGGAAAAAAGTGTTAAATGGCTCCAGTCTGCTGCTTAGGGGACGATCCTTCCTGTTATTGAATGTTATTACACGCCAACGAGAGACGTTTTAGTGGCAATTAAGCCGACGCTGGCGATTCATAAAAAGTCACTTAGTGCAGGAAGCAAACAACGTGTTCCTGGGCCGAGGTGGTGTTTGGATTCCCATCAGGGGGGGGGGGGGGGGGCTGAGTAAAAAAGAGAGAGAGAGAGAGAGAGAGAGAGAGGGTGAGGGGGATAATGCTATTTGATTTCCCATTATGTGATTGCAATAGACCTGCATTGATCCGATGCCTCGCACTCGGGAGCGAATGAGAGACCATTAAAGGTGTTTGCTCCCCCCCCCCGACCCCCCCCCCCCCCCCCCCACCCCCCCCACACACACACACTCTCTCTTCCCCTCACCCCTCCCTCCACCTCACTCTTATTTCGCCTCGCACTGAAAGCGTGGCTCGCATTTCGAAAGCCCGGGCTCATAACCAGAGAGACAGTTCAAACACGGTGGAAGCCCCGGGAGGTTGTGGCCCCCGGTGAAACAACAGATGTCTCTTTAGGGGCCGTAGGTGAACAAATCACTTAACGGGCGCCATCAGGAGGTGATAAAAACTCATAAATTCCCGAGGGGCTGTGTAATGCTAAACAGCCCTTTGGGAATACTGCGTGCGTTTGTGTGTGCGCGCGTGTGTGTGTGTGTGTGTGTGTGCGCGCATGCACGTCCCTGTCGCTCAAGCCTCCGCTCGTTCAATCACTCTCCCTCCTCATGTTGACATTTTGCTCGTTGTGAGAGCCCCGTGCTTCTGCAAACGGGGGCCACAGCGGATGTGTGGGAAAGTTAAATAGTCCCACGGACGGAAAGTGCCTCGTTCGGCGTCTCTTTAAAGAATTTAATTTAAAGCGCATTAATTGTTATTGGAGCCGCGGTTCGGTGGTCATTTTCTGGGATCTTTTGTTAACACCGCGCCTAATGATTCACCCCCCCCCCCCCCCCCCCCCACACACACACACACACCTTTCCCAGACGCCCGTGTGCTGGGACGGCGGGTTTAATTAGACAAAGATTTGAGACGCCGTGAGCCGCATGGGTTTGCCTCGCTCGTAATTACCGCTGACTTTCCGCCGGTTGGCCGCCACCTGAACTAGACAACCGTTCAACGGGGCCTCAGCCCGGGGACACGTTGCTGTAAGCCAAACAGGGAGTCATGTTTTTTTTTTATTTAAAGGGGGGGGCTCATTTTTTTTGACATGGGGGAGGGGTTCCCACCCCCCCCCCCCCCCCCCCCCTGCCCCCCCTCCCAGAGGAAAGGCCTCACAATGCAGCAAGAAAATCTCCTATATTCTGAACCCTGTATTTTCTAGTTGTGCCACATGCTGCATTTGTTGTCGTCCTTCTTCCCAAGAAAAAGCATCAGATTTCTTAATATTAACCCGTCACTTCTCCATCTACCCTCCAGGTGTGGTTTCAGAACCGCAGGGCCAAGTGGAGGAAGCGCGAGAAGGCCGGCGTGCAGGCCCACCCGTCAGGCATGCCCTTCCCAGGCTCCCTGGCGGCTGGCCACCCCCTCAGCCACTACCTGGACGGGGGGCCCTTCCCTCCCCATCACCACCCGGCCCTCGAGTCCGCCTGGACCGCTGCCGCCGCCGCCGCCGCCGCCTTCCCGGGCCTGGCCCCTCCGCACCACAACGGCTCGGCTCCGCAGCTGGCCACCCCCCTGGGCCTGGGCACTTTCCTGGGCACGGCCGCCATGTTTCGCCACCCCGCCTTCATCGGACCCACTTTTGGCAGGTAAGCTGCACCCATGCACAGAGCTCCGTTTGGACCTGATCTTTTTTTTTGTTATTTTATCTACACTTAATAATGCCACAATAAATAATCCGGCAATATGGAGTCGAGCCGGTTTACAGAAAGAAACGCAGAGCAGCAACCAGGCGAAACTCCAGTGAGTGACGGTTGCAGTAACCCTCAGTCACACCGCATCACCGCGTGTCTCAGTGTCTGATTATGAATATGTTACGCCGTTAACCATTCGCAGTGGTGCGTAATCACTCTGTCAACTGCCCTGATGAATTAACCAAACGTGTGATGCCGCGAGGCAAGCTGTGAAGAGGTGTGACGCGCCGCACACTCCATATGCCGCAATTAGCTCCTCATTTGCTTTCATCCTCTCTATTATGCAGCACGCTACTCTCCATGCCAGCTCTATATGCTGAAGAAGCCTAAAGCAGAGGAATTTAATCTGCACAAAAAAGAGAAACGGGTGGAATAAATACGTCTGAAGGACGTTCAAAGTCTAAATTAACAGGCAGCCAACGCCGCTCTTGAATTTAAGGAGCACAGGGGCATTTGCCGCTAATTGAGCACTTCAATCTGGGGCACTGACAAACATATTCAGCGTCTATGAATGTTTTAGACTGTGACATTTCTTTGTCCTCGCAGGCTCTTCTCCAGTATGGGTCCCCTGTCCAGTGCTTCCACGGCCGCAGCTCTCCTCCGCCAGCCCGCCCCTCCTGTAGAGAACCCCTCCCTCGCAGGCCCAGTCCTCGCCGACCCTTCCTCCTCCTCCTCCTCCTCCTCTTCCTCCCCCTCATCCGCAGCCGCAGCAGACCGCAGGGCCTCCAGCATCGCCGCGCTGCGCCTCAAGGCCAAGGAACACTCGGCTCAGCTTACCCAGCTTAACATCCTGCCGCCGGGGCGACAGGGAAGGAGGTGTGCTGAACACACACAATACCGGGCCTCCTCGCCCCCCCCACCTCCCCAACACCCATCATTCATACCTTCATACCTCTGGAGGCTGATGCCCCAATGTCCCCTTGTTCAACCATACCTGTTACCTCATGTTTCCCCGATAAAATATAGCACGACCAAATTCAAAAGAGCACTGGCTAAAAGTGTGTGTGCGTGTGTCTGCGTGTGTGTATCTGGTAATTACAGCTATACTTACACTCCATACACAAACCTTTCTGGATTATTCCAGCAACTTCAGTATTTTTAATAATATAATTTGTTGACAGCTGAATGGTTTATATTTGAAAAAAACTTTCTTTACATTGACTATAATTCAATATTCATCTGGGCTCCGTATTATTTGCATAAATGATCACACAGTATGTGTACCGCTTATACGTGGAGTGCATTTACACATCAAAAAACTAAAAACACACAGTGCCAGTGGTAGAATGTAGCAAAGTATATTATGTGAGGTAGTTGTCTTTTAGTATTTCCGTTTGACATTGCATTCTGGATTTTACCAGAATACACAATTCTTACACAATATAAAATTCTAAGCATTAGACTACGCAACCAGTATAGTATTTTTAAAAAGTTAAAAATAGATTAACCTGAACAACTTCAACTATAACATGCCCCTCGCACATTAATGCATTAACTAAAATAATTCAGTAATATAAAACAGCGTCACGGGGAGCATTTATCCTTGACAGTACATTTTGCTGATCATTTTTAGTATTTTAAATTGAGTAAAACTTCCACTTTTACTTACCTAGGATCTGTCATGGGGAGCGCACACACACACACACACACACACACACACACACACACACACACACACACACACACACGCGTAAACACACATATACGGAAAGCTAAAGAACCACAGAGGAAACCGGACTCTTAGAAAGGATTCTTGTGCTACTTCAAACGTGGACAACTTGAGAGCTCGGCCCTTCTTAATCTGTATGCATTGATGTGGGCCAGTCTGCGTCTATAATAAAGGCGAGTTGGAAGAGGAGCACCCCCACGACCCCCCCCCACCCCCCCCCCCCTCCCTCCCTCTCTCCACCCCTCAGAACCAAAGGAAAACTGTCCATAGAACCTTCCATATAGCCTTCTCTACAAGCCTGACTCCTCTACACTGCTTGCCTGCCCACCAGTCAGGCTGAGCAGCACCACTGGACGTGCACATGTTGGTCTTTTTTTTTTTTTTTTTAATCTCTGAATCCAACCAGAGTGACTTGAGGTGATTTCCAGCACCTGATTTCTGTAATTCTCTGCAATTTGAGATCTCCCTCCCTTTGATTATCACAGCAGTGCTACTCTCTGCTGAGTCTGACTCCAGGACACGCAAGCTAAGTCGAGATCCGAGATGAGTCTCTGATGACCTAACTGTGTGGAAGAAAACTGTACATATTGTGTAAAAAGGAGAAAAAAAGTAACACAAAAAAGGATGATTTTCAAAACTAGGTTGTGTAAATTTCAAGAGCCCGTGTTTTGATAATTTGCACTTGGTGTAGTGTTTAATGAATGTCGCCCTGTGTAGAATTTCACCTGTGTTTATGAATTATTAGGATTGTTAGATCATTATTTATGTCAAAACGTTTCTCTGAGGACCTGAGTGAAGGACTTAATTTTTCTTATTAAGTGACTGTAAGTTTCCTGGTTCAATAATGCTAATTTGAATAAATTACATTGCTAAAATGAGTTATCTTTTTTTTATTTTTTGTAGGACTGACTATAGGCCTAAACTAGGGGAAAAGAAAACAATATGAAATAGAATATTATAAAACTATTAATAAAAGGTGTTATGAAGAACGTGTTTTCTGTCTTATATTGATGGACACTTTTGCATGATACAAACCCTTCAGTGATTAATGTATCTGTTTATAATAAACCGCAATTAACACCAATAACCGTTGACTAACCGAACGGATGTGAGGAAACCGGTTTGTCCGGTGCTCAAAACGTCTGCAGGGGAAGGTTGAAAACACCTTTCAAGGAGGAACTTATCGCCGCAGAGAGCAGATTCAGAGGCGTAGCGCTCCGCCTCAATTGGAGAACACGCATTTAGGCGCATAATCCAGCGCGCTGCGTGCGTCTGTCCTCTTCAGCGGAGTTGACAAAATACTGACCATATATTCATGAGCCTAATCCCCGACATGTGAAAACGCGCGACAAAGGCGAGGGGTTTTCAATTAGATCGCCCACTTTATCTGAGGGGCTGAGGGGGGGGGTCTGTCACAAAACTTCCTTTAAACCCCTTTAAAGGCGCTAAATTAGTCTTAACATCTGTAATGCCATGTCGATGAAAGCGAGTCTCCTTTGTCATTAATGAAGTAACAAACCACTTCATCAAACGGCTTTCACACACACACACTCACACACCTCGTAGAGTTAATTCCGACAAATCGCCCCCCTCCATTGGGTCTCACCACTAATGCAGGACTATTACAGCAATCAATGGTTATTCTCCTCCGTTTGACCCATCCATGGTGCTCAACCAAATCGCGTGAAATTACTCCGCGGATTAATGTAGTCTCTCTCTCTCTCTCTCTCTCTCTCTCTCTCTCCTCTCTCTCTCTCTCTCTCTCTCTCTCTGCATTGTCTGCATCTGTGAAATCTCTCGCTCCTGTTCTCTTGTTTTACAGGTCCTCGGCTCCCGTTACCTGTTAATCACTTAATTCAGTCCAAACAAGCAGGAATTACATCCGACGAGGGAGCGATATTTCCGCACATGTTATTTATTCTGGTGCACACGTGCGCTCTCACAGCTGCGCAATGCTGGATAAAATAAAAAACTATTTCCACTCGAGCGAACAAACCATCCACGACGGTGTGATCCCCATGTTTTATTTATTTTTTTGCACAAATTCTTGGCCAGTGGAGCGTGTGCACCCCCACCCCCCGCCCCCGTTATATACGGTTTTGATGAGATTGTCCGGGGGGGAGTTGTAATCTTATTGTGAATATAACTAATGAATGGCAAACCAATTTGTCCCCAATATTTGGGGAATGCCGGGAGGCGGATGACCTGCTGGGAGGGAGGCTTAAACTTTCTTTGCAAACGCAAGAAAAAGAAAAAAGGCGAGAAAATTGAAATGCTGTCGCATATAGCGGCGGATTTATAAAGTCACACTTGTTGGATGTGTGCTCTTTCATTTGAGACATGGCCTGCCTTTAGGATTAGAGCACGATGCTCCCTATTGCATGAATGATCACGATAATGAATGTTGATGTATGAAGAGAAGGGGGGGGGGGGGGGGGTAAAGAAAAAATAAAAGAGGATACCGGGGAATCCTGGGGGGTTTTTTTTTTTTTTCTTCTTCAAATTGGATGCCAGAAGAAAAAAAAAAAATCGACCTGATTTGGTGGATTGTGTTAAAGCGCAGGTTAATCCAGGTGTTCAGACGAAAGAAGAAAAAATGTCTGACTTCGTTGCCCATTTTCATCACCGCTCCCCCCCTCCCCTCCCCTCCCCCCTCGGCTCTCTCCTCCTCCGGGGCTCTCGGACTTGATTTGGCCCGTGATTTGGATTCACCGGGGCCTCGTTTCTCCCACCGCGACCCTGCCCGGGAGAATAGGCCCAATCACTCCACCGCCTCGGCCGGATCAGTGCTCAGCTCAGTCCCCGGGAGAGGATCGCTCTAAAAAGGCGCTTTGATGAACAGCCCCCCCCCCCCGTCCTCCTCACCCCTCCTCCCCGAGGCGGAGAACCGGGCCCCGATTGAAAGAGCTGAATAGCCGGGCCATGGCACTCCGCGTCGCCCCTTAATTCCCCGTCTCTCCTGCTCTCATCCAATTAGCTCAGTGTATTAAGCGGTTTATCGTCTCATAACCAGCCTTTCAGCTCCGACAAGGGGGGACACTTTGCAATGGGACCAGCTCTCCTTTTGACACCCTCTCCGGGGCCGGTATGTTCCGCCGCGCTATGAATAACCGGGACAGAATGGGGGACTAATTCCCTCATCAAAGACTTACCTTGTCCGTCCGCTGGTCAAAACGACAAGCAATAAAGCTTAACGCCGCCCGCACAATGAGACTTGCTCGACCTTATTAGCTTAGCGGGGTCGAATTAATTCAGGGGGACTCTTTTATTTGCTCCAATGGGAGGACAAAACGGGGGCCCTCGCTTAAAACCTGCAGCCCGGCAGTGGGAAATAGCAAGGCCCCGCGTGCACGTCTACTGTGGTCTGCGGTTGATTAACAGCAAAAAAAAAAAAAGCAGACTAAGCAACTGTGATGAGAAGTAGTGGAGCTGATGGGATTTAATAAATATGTAAAGTTATGACCAATAGGCTGACGAGACGCTTTCTCTCCCTCACACACACACACACACACACACACACACACACACACAGCGTGTTCTATCCATTGCATAGTGAATCACGGTTTAAGTGTTCAGCCCACTTAAGGTTGCCTTCACAAGTCACAGTGGTTTGAAGTGATTTGTGAGGCGTGCGGTGTTTATGGAAATGCACGCGCGCAGGATGGAGTATATAAAAAAAATAAAAAATAAAAAAAAAGGAAGAATTCTTGGAAGGAAAAGGTGAAACACTTTATGGAGCGAGTTACAGACGGAGGATTGTAGGATATTCAATGTGTTGGCCTCCATGTGAAGAACCAGTCTGATCTGTATTCAAGCAGCTGAGACGTCCAAGAGTGATTTCCTGCTTCTCAATTTTCAATTAATTTCCACTATTATGCACTGGAAAATAATAACACTGCAAACAGAAAATAATCATAATGATTTTATCTAAACCGTTGAACTCCTATTTAGAAATAACTGAAATCCCATTTGAAATCAAGAAAACCTCAAAGTCCCGCTCGCGTATTTATAAAGGATGACGCGGAGGATAGTCTGTGTAATCGATGCACATGAGTGATAATTCACCTCTGTGCCCCAATCGCTCTTCATGAAAACACTATTTCTATTGGCTACTGATGTTTTTAAGCAAAAAGGTACTCACAGTGAACTGTGTTTGCTACTTACAGCTTTTGTAATAGTACATAGCACACATGCACAGGTTTTTGACTTGTTGGTTGATCTTCTTGCAGGAAATTACAATATTCAACATGACCAGACTTTTGGTATTTTGGAAATACGGTATCAAATAAAGTGAGGCTTCATTTATTTTGATTTTCGTAACCAGAATGCAGCCGTAACAAGAAACGATTAGCCTCACATCCATTTATCTTTTTTATTAAAGTTGCCGTATAGAAAAAACAAACAAAAAACGTTCTCATCAATATCAAAATGCCAATTACAAAATACTCTGATCATTACAACAACTACAAAAAAATCTTTACAGCGCACCAACTTGAGAAATACAAGTCGGACACGTAGGAAATTACAGGCATTAAAAACACACACGGAAGAAGGGGAATGAAATGGTATCAGTTAAACAGAGGCAGTGGAGGAGAAGGAGATCAGCTGTTTGATACGCAGACAAAAGAGTGAGGGAGCAGCGCGTGTGGCCTTGCTCACCTCCTCACCCCTCGCATCCTCCTCACCGCTTTCTTTCATCTGATCTGACACACAAACACACACACACGCAAGCACGCGCACACACACTCAGGCTGAATGGTGGTAATCAGAACAAGTGTCCGATCGCTGCAGGCATCCAGTGGTCTTAGTGGACGGGTCACTATCATTGGCTAATTAGCAGCTTTTGGAGTATACTGGCTTCTCTGAGAAGAAGTCATTCTCTCTCACACACACATACACACACACACGCACGCACAATGGACTGTCATTTAAGTATGATTGCTACTCCCCTTTGCCATACAGGGCCATTGTGATGGGGTCAAATCATTTGTGCCTATATGGAGAAACTGCAGAGAGGGAACAGCGTGATGGGGTTTTGAGTCAAATAACAAGCCCATTACCGGCTACAGGTCTGTAAAAAAAGAAAGAAAGGAAACTGCAATAGTGCGGACAGATGTAGATGAACGTGCAAATGTCCCGCTTCGAGTCAGACGTCGGCAGGCGTTGTGGTTTCATTTGAGGGAGGAGAACGCCTGGAAGAGCTTCGCCAGGTTGATCTCCGAGTAGCCGCTGGCGGCCAAGGCTTTGTCCGGCACTTCCTTCAGCCTCCGGTACACGTCTCTGTCTTCGTGCCACAGTTTCAGGCGATCTGCAGGTGAAAGAGGGACAGGAAGAGAAGAAAGGTTGAGGTTCCTCGAAACGCAAGTCGGCGGCGCACACGCACGCCACTGAGGCGCCTGCGCTTCAATCCGGCCAACGGGTCTTTCCATGATGCTGCTGGGAGGGGAGAGCGGCGCGGCGGCGGGTTTGTCTCGTCGTTAATAAACACGAGGAGGGTTACACCCTCGACTGGAGCGCCAACAGATCCAATGCCGTCTTGCGAGTAACGCCGGGACGGCCGCGGCGAAATTGGGCGAATGGGTCGATGGGGTGCTCGCGCCCGCGCGCACACACGGGTTCATAAGATCGATGGAAAAGCCCAATGAGAGCATGAAGTCAATATCGTGTCCCTGTTATCACTTTGGGGGGGCTGTAATAAGACCAGAGGGACGACTGAGAGCTGCTATCCCGGGCACGGCGGCCGCCAAAACCAAGTCTTTACAATATTATACTGAGCGTCAAGTGTAGATGAAGTATCATAAAACCAAGTAATGACACACTATCACGCCAACGACTGCGACGACTGAGAAACGAGGAAACTGGAAAGGGAGAAAGTTTGGTTTTGTGTGCGACTGATCTGATTTTACAGCATTGAACTGGTTTATTTCACATGGGGCACAATTTAAGTAGTTTTATAAATATATATTTTGTTTTGGTATTGAGGTATTACCTAGCAACAATACTATGGAAAAATGATACTACAAGCAAACAGCATCGGTACCATTTATGCTGTGAACGTAAGCCAGGAAGATCCCACCTATCAGAGGAAGGCAAGCAGCCCATTGAAAGTGTTTTTCCTAAACTACCTTGAGGATTCAGAGAGTCCTGATCCAATTAGTTGACTCATGACTGGTCGATAAAGGGAACAACAGGAATCTCTACTGATAAATCATTCAGGACTATAAAGTGACAAAGAACGAACCGGTCGTTCCGTCGAATTTGCTGTGCAGATTCTTCTAATGTGTCCGCGAATGTTCCTCCGCCGCCGACTTTGGACTCGAAGTTGTGACAACTCGCGAGGTGAAAAAAACGTCTACACCGACCGCTCTGTGCGAGTGTGGCCGGTGCGTCTGCAGATCGATCGCTAACGAGCAGCAGCATCGTTCTCATCGCCACACAGAGGAGGAGCAGCAGCGAGGGAATGTTTAATGCGGTTATGCTTGAGAAAGTAAATCCCCAGCAACACCAGTAAAAGTAATCAGAACTCTCAATCAAAGTGTTTTAGTACAAGCAAACAAAAGTTTAAAAACAGCACCAATGCCCGTTATTTATCAAGATCACAGACACCATATGGCCGGTTGTCACGTCCTCGCCATCTCCTGTCTCGTCTTTCCTGCCCGTTGCATTAGCGGCTGTTGGATAAATACCAACCCGCGGACCGACCGAGGGAACAAAGGTTAGATACACAGAGACCAACACGCACACGCACACACACACACACACACACACAGACGATTGATGGTAGTTAAACACTTAAAGAAGAACACTAACTCAAGTCATGGCGACTAAAAATACACCCACGTGACAAACAGCAACCGCACGTGCACACAGAAGATGGTGTGGTTGCCTTAGGTGCCAGCAGCAACTATTACCAGATAATCCTCATTTCAGCGAGGACGTGGCGAGAAGGTGGGGGGGGGGCAGGTAGAGGCAAACTATTCTATTTATCTGGGGGAATAGAAGCAGGGTGATGATGCCTGATCAAGCGAAAGCAATCATGTCATCATTTCTGAAAGGTAGCAGAAAATAATTCCCCCCCCCCTACCCCCCCTCCTCTTTCCCTTTCCTCATTCTTTCGTCTTTTCCACCTCAATCACTGGGTGGCGAACAGATAAAAGAACCATTGAAGAGTCCCGGGGAGGGAAAAAAAGCCCAGAGCGGGCGGGCGGGGGGAGAAAAAGCAGCCGTGCAACCACCTCCACTGAGATGAGGGAAAGGGGGGGGGGGGGGGGGGAGAAGGACCAACAAACCGGCTGCGTTACCGGGGGCGCAAACAGCGCTTCAGACCCCCCCCACCTAAAAGAAACTTGCCTAATGGATCGCATTACGCATCATTCCCTGAACACACACACACACACACACACACACACACACACACAGCGCACCCGTGTGTGTGTGTGTGTGTGTGTATCAGGGGTTATCTTTGCTCTAACTAGGTGTTGTCACACACTTGCGCACACTCTGGCGGCGCCGGGCACGAGTAGATCGGGGCTCTGCACGCTCTAACTAGGTGTAAATACAATAACAAGCCTGTAATTAAGTGAGCATGATGAAGTTAATGGAGATCGGCCATTCCGTCGGGCCGCCTCCATGAATATTCTATTAGGCTGGTGGCGACGGGCAGCTGGAATAGCAGTTAATTTAATCACCACTCGGAGCACGGGGAAACTTCTTTGTGTGAGTGTAATTGCACAGAATGAATAATTGATTTGACAATCGCACCCGCGGATTTCGCCACCCCGCTTTGTAGCGCCGGAGAAGAGGGGAGGGAAGGGTGGAAGACGAGCGAGAGAAAGAGAGATGGGAAGAAGATGGAGCATGGAGAGGAGGAAGAAGAGGAGGGGACGGGGGAGAAAGAGAGAGAGAGAGAGATAGGAAGAGGAGTGGGAGGGCAGAAGAGGAGCAGGAGCGCTGAGAGGCGGCGGGGAAGCGGTCGGTAAATGGATCATTAGAAAAGCGCAGCTCAAGGACAATTTATATTTTATCAATGCGGCAAAATTACATTATTGCTCACACACGCAATCATACTGCCCACACTCAAGATTGAGACCTGGAGGAGGAGGAGGAGGAGGTGGGGGGGGCAGGAGGAGGGGGTAGAAAAGATGGAGCAGAGGGAGACGAGAGAAGAAAAGTGACATGAAATGATTTGAAAGTCATTGATACGGGATGTTCCCTGCGAAAGAACGGACAGCATACTTCTTTCATAGTGTGCGTGTGCCTCTGTGAGTGTGTGTGTGTGTGTGTGTGTGTGTGCATAATCTATTAGAGATCTCCTGCAGCGGTGGAAATTACCTCCATGTTTTACTCAGTTGCAGCAATCAGACACAAAAAATGCAATATACATGTAGATAAGACAGGCGTGCAAATGGGCACACGTAAACCCTCCGGAGCACCGCCACACACACGCACACACACACACACAAGCACGCGCACACACATGCACATGCCGATCAAATTACATCCAGCGTTGACTCAAAGCTCTTCTATGTGAAGACATTTCTATTGAATGTGCTTTATTGTGGCGGCTCAGTACACCTGAGGACACGCGCGTTCTTTGTGTCCGCACCACAGACTTCTACCATGAAGACGTTACGTCTCCAGAGCCGAGAGGACACAAGCCACGCCGCCATTAAGGGATGAGGCTGCTAATATTCGCTTTCGAGGACAGGAAGCCCAGCTCGGACCCGAGCAGAGACGAGCTGTGGGGCGGCGCATCGGCGATCCGACGTGATGAAACTAATTATATTACCTACAAAGTCGCCCCCTGGATGGGTTGAACGTTTGAATGGATCTCTTAAGGAGGTCCAGCACATGGGACAACGGTAACGGCGGGTGTACAGGATGGCACGTCTCCTCCCTGTAATCTGGGCCGTGTGGCCCCCGGGCGGTGAAATGCAGTAATATGGGGTATTACTGCCCCAGGACTGAGGGATAACACCGTTAACCTGTATTTTATAGCAGCACGTGTGTCCACGCATCCTTCAGCATTTGAGGAAAGCTGTGCCGGATCATTTGGTGGAGACGCCGGTTTTTCGCCAGTGTTGCCAGACTGGGTTTGTCGATAAAGTTAATCGTTTGACTAATGCCCCGCCCATGAGCCTACACTTGCCATAAATACGACCTTCCTGGAAGGAGAGCAGACAGCCACACTTTAACACTCAACGCATGAAATGTGCGACTTCGTAGTCTTCGACAAAAGAGCTCGCAGCTGTCACGAGGCAAAGCTGCTAAACTGTTGCACAACCATCCGACTTGTGTGTGTGTGTGTGTGTGTGCACGGTACCGTCCACGTGTACCCTGCGAGCACACACGGCCAACCATTTGGCTGCAGGGTGAAGAGTGTACTCCATTGTATCGCCGGGCGCGCCGGAACATAAAGAAAGGAGGCGGACCGAGGATTGATTGGCGATTATTTCTTCTTGCATGTGGGCACAGACGGAAATAAAAGAAAGCAAAAATGGAGGCTATAATCATGTTAGCACCTCCCCCCGCTCCAATCCCTACATTTCAGCTCCCTCCATCTTCTGAGTGGTCATCTGTTGATTACACGTTATATTTACCTCTGCTGTCTCACCCTCTGACTGCCTCGCTCATGTTCTGACTGGGGGGGGGTCGTGCGCACACACACACACACACACACACACACACACACACACACACACACACACACACACACACACACACACACACACACACACACACACACACACACACACACACAGCGAATTTAGGCGTACATACATAAATAACATCCATACATAAATATTAAATCAAATAAATCACTCGCCCCGGCGGCCCTTTCTAATCAAGTGACATCAATCAGGGAGAACCGCGGGTAAAGAGGCCTCGGGGCCGACGCCCACCGAGCGGCGCCCAGAGCGCTGGAGTAGCGTCTATTTGAGTCCAAGGGGGGAAATATACGCTCCATGTCCCATTACAGGAGAAGGGCTATCCTTTCGTCAGCGCGCCCATTACTCCCCCTATCATTTCCCCAAATCTAAAACCTGTTTTCAATCAACACAGCCAAACGAGTGCCTGTCCAGGAGAGGGAGAGAGGGAGGGAGAGCGGGAGAGAGGGGAGGAGAGAGAGGGGGGGGGGGGGAGGAGAGAAAGCGGTCGACGGACAGTGAGGGTGAGGGCAGAGCGATGGAGGGCTCTCTCCTTCTTTCTTCCAGTGATTGGAGCGTTTTGCATTCTGTATGTGTGTGTGATTGAATCCGTCTCCTAAATTAGGGCTGTCGACTCGACGAGCTGAATGTCCTTAACCCCCCGAGCCTCCCGCCGCCCCCCGAGCCTGTGCCCATACGCCGCTACCCGTGTTTTTGTGTGTGTGTGTGTGTGTGTGTGTGTGTGTGTGTCTCACAGCGTTGGTGAATACTGTAAGTGCAGTCTGGGTAAAGGGTTTACGTTGAGCCATTGATTGCTAATGCTATGTTGTACGTGTGTTTGCGAGGAAGCATTGTTAGGACATCGACAGTCAAACTTCAATAGCCGTCCCGGTTACTTGATTTCAGCTCCGGAGGCGGCACCGCGGAACAATAAGAAGAAATGAATAAAATATGATCGCATTTTTTAAAAAGTGGGCCTGTTTTCACAAGTTGGTATAGAAACTTGACAGCCACAAAAAAGGAGAAATTTAGGAACAAGACTTAGTAACGTAACTAACAACATACGTGTGTGTGTGTGTTTGTGATCTTACTTTTCTCATCACTTGTCAGTTTGGCAACTGCTTGGTCCCAGTCGAAGATGAACCTGTAGAAGCAGAGCTGGTAGTACAGGGCCTTCTCAGAGTACTGGAGAGAGAAAACACACACACACACACACACACACACACACACACACACACACACACACACACACACACACACACACACACACACACACACACACACACACACACACACACACACACACACACGGGTTAAACACACGTTGCTACATAATCTGATCAACGCTACATTATGCTGGTCGTGCTCAAAAGAAAAACAACCAAATGAACCAGTCTGCGGGTCACAGGAGCAGAATACCAGATTAGCACGACCAGCTACGCAACGGCCGCAGACGTCACGTTGGCAGGTAGTCGCTTCTTAATTCCTCAGCTAGATTCGTCCGTTTTATTTCCTTTCGCCGATTGGTGTTTTCAGCGGTTCAAAGCGTTTATCCCGGGATTAGCTTTGATGGCGCGTTCTCGATGCAGCCCGAGTCCGTCAAAGTAAAAACGCCAGCGCGTGCGGCCGAAAGTGGGCCGCGTTGAGGGTTTCGGCGTGAGGCGTTTTCACTCGATAACCACTTCACATACGCCGCACAATACCAGCAGCTCCTTCAAGGTCAAATTCCAAAATCAATGGGTTAGAGCTAAAACGTTTAGTCGGCTATTAGACAGAAAACGCGCGCCTTTTTTGGTTCTTCCATTTCTGCCGGCACTGGCGTGAAGGCAGATTGCTCTCTTTGACCTTGTTGCAGTGATGCGTTGGACACGGGGAAGTTATGAATTCCCTGTTATTTTTGGTTTTACGGGAGCAGGGGCCGGAGATCACGGCCGGGCAGCGGATTAATAAACCCCATTTACCGCTCCGAGAAACAGGCGGAGCCAACGCCAAAGAAACGCACACTCGGCACATGCGACTATTCCTCCCCGAAGACGTCTCCCTTCCTCCGCGTGACACAGTGAAGCAAGAAAACAAATTTGCTTGCTTTGTTAATCTCCACTGCAATTAACCGGAGCCACACGACAGCCTGCCAGAGGGAGGGGAGACAGGGAGAGAGAGAGAGAGAGAGAGAGGAAGAGAGAGGTGGGAGCAAAGGAGAAGAGAAAAAACAACAACAACTAAAAGGGTAAAGAACAAAGTGAGAGACGCAGAGAATCCGAGCGAGGGAGGAAGGGAGAGAGAGAGAGAGAGAGAGAAGGAAAAGAGGGGATCGGGCCTGAAACACCCTCCCTCATAATAGTTTGTTGTGATAAGCCATTGTGAGAGAGGCATGCGAACAGCCGAGGCTGTCAATTTGATTAGCCATTATACTGCACGTTTAATTGCAGTTATTGGCTCGTCATTTCCCCGCTACGCTGGAGAGGGCACGCTAAGCCCCGACCCCACACTGCCATCAGGTGTGCGCCGAGTGCTTTATTATTACCACTAGGAAGAATCCCCTGACAAATCCGGCGTGTCAGTATCTGCGTGTGTGTGTGTGTGTGTGTGTGTGTGTGTGTAGTAAAGTGAGTTTTGTGCGTGCCCGTTGTGCCTGCTTGCCAACCGGCAATGTGCGTAATTATAATTTCAGTTTTTACTGCTGTGGCGTAATCAAGTGGTGATGGTATCTAATGCAACTGAAGGCAAACTCTGAGATGTGTGCGTGTGTGTGTGTGTGGGAAGGGGGGTGGGTGCAGATTGTGCGTTTAACAGCTTTCTATGGCTGCCCACATGGCACACACAGCTGTTGAACATTGATGCACTGCCTAGTCAACAACCTAACCATGCACATCCCATAATGGAGCCTCGGTTACGGTTGCCAAGGTTGAACAAGCTCGGTCGGCACAAACAGCGAGGCGCCAGTTCTTCCTCTTGACAATAAACACACACACACACACACACACACACAGTCACATTCAAACAATGTAACGCTGATTGTGGGCGGGCCCAGTCGCTGCACACTGATTGACTGACAGGTGTCAGAAAGGCGTGTCTAAAATGTTACAGGGTTGTTATTGAATTTAGAGCCCCTCAACCCCACCTCACTCTCTCTCTCACACACACACACACACACACACACACACACACACACACGCCTACCTTGTCATTCAGCTCGGTGCTTTGTTCCTGCACTGACACCATTTCAATTTGTTCCACAAATCTGCAGCATTTTCAGCCTGACTGCCTAAGGAGCAAACCAGCTGTGAAATTGCCTCTCTCGTGGGAGCGTCGCCCCCCCCCGTACCCCTTGCTCCCTTTGACTCCCCGATCCCAACACACACATCCCATGTGCAAGCGCAAGCACACACTTGCACAGTTAAACCGAAAGGAGAAAAAGGAAGGTGTGTATGTTTGTTTGAGAAGAAAGAAAATGGAAACCGGATGTATAGAAAGTAGGAAATAAGTAGAAGAAGTCACACAATGAAACGAGCACAAGACTTCCGAAGAGTTTTCTGGAGGTTGTGTGTTTGTGTGTGCGCGCGTGATGACACTGCTACTACTGGAGGGAAAGTGATAATCATTTGTTCGACGTGGATGCGGCTGAGAGGAAAACATCGCAGCTACGGAGACACAAACAAGGCCTCGGCTTCTCACACTTTCCTCTCCTCCGGCTCAGCGGCCCGACGCGCGTTGTAAACACTGGGGCTGCGATATCCGAGCCCATACACAACTGCAGCTGCAGGGAGGGAGGTAGGGAGGGAGGGAGGGAGAGATACAAACATACATTTCCCCCCTCAGCTGTGAGGCCACGAGGCTTTAAAACTCTTGAGCTTTTTCAGATGCTATGAACGTTATTGCCGGTTGTGGTAGTCACGCCGATCAGCTTCACAAGACACCGTAATGAGTCAATATATGTAAATCTTTACTAGGCAAACACGGCGGGAAACAAAGGCATTTAACTGGTGCTCTCGCCCGCAAGCCTCCAGCGATTCAGCAGCGGTAATTTCTCCCCATTGAAAGGCATAATTGCCTGCTATTTGAAGATATTCATGCTCAATTTTTGAAATTAATTTCAATTGGAGGGAAATGTAGAAATGTCAGCTCCAGTGAAAGGGATTTGATTTCAATTATCCTCGCTCAAAGGACTGTGATTTCCAAATACACTTAAGCAAAATTATGACAAGAATTTTTGTTCGGCAAAATTCAGTGTTTAAAGAGCGATTAGGCGATAATGGGGCAGCTTTGAGCCGGCAGTGAATGCAGCCGTCTCCCTCTGAAAGGCACTCAATTATCTCTGATTGCTCCCGCTATAATGTATCAAATAGAGATACCTGCTATTGCCGTAATTTGTGTGAAAATTAACATGCTGCAATTTCCACTAGAGGGAAAAAGGGAGCTCTAATGGGCGCCTGAGCGTACATCAATAAAAAGAGGGGAGAGAGAAAACGAAAAAAAGAGAGAGCGACAGAAAAGAAGGGTGAGAGGAGGAGAGAAAGAGCAAGCAAAGAGAGAATGGGTACAAGAGCTAAAGAGGGAGGGGGGGAGAGAATGCAAAGAAAGGAGCAGGAGAAAGCCTCAAATAAAAGGGGGAAAGAAAAGGAAAGTCAGGACAGAGATTTCAGACACAGCCAAAATAGCCCATTAGAGTTAAGCGTCATGGGGGGAGGGAGAGATAAAGAGCGAGAGGAAAAGAAGGAAATTTAATTTACTGAAAATATTACAAATTGCACCTGTGCATAACTCCCCCAAATTACCAACCAATCAAGGCAGAGTGCCTATTACTCTCCCATTACATGGAGATCAGATCACGCTCGGAATCTGTGTCCAGAGAGGGAGGGAGTAAAAACACGAACCAGAGCGAGGGAGACGGAGACAGAGACAGAGGGAGGGGAGAGCGGGCACCCCCCCACCCCCCCGCACCGAGATGCAACAGAGACGAGAAGAAGAAGAGGAAAGTGTTCCGTTCCATGATGATCTCCAGGCACCGGGGCTTGATTCCGGACACGGTTACAGACACCGAGAAGCCGGCGGTGGTGCGAAAGGAACATCTGCCTCCTCACAGAGGTGGGACAGGACAATGTTTTAGGGTTCGAATGGCCCGCTGAAGAGCATCGAGGCTCGCGCTGTCCTACGGTAGCAGCATTTAAACAGTACTTGCATATATTTTCTAAACATGTCCTAGCATCTCAAGTAGCGTCCGTCTACTGCATCCTACTTAAACAAGTCGCCTGTCAGTCGGCTGACACGACAGCATGTGCGTCAGTCAGCAGGCCGCAGCGCGATGCTAACGACACCAAACGAGCGCGCGTTTTCAATGACAGAAGGACTTCGACCCGACGAGGCTCCACCCCCCCTTCCTCCACGGTCCTGCTGAAAAACACACACATGGGCTCAGACTCAACGTTGCAGTAGATTGTCGCCATCACGGATGAACAAAACCCAGAGAGCGCGGTAGATCGCGGCGCGTCCCCGAGCAGCAGGTAAGAAGGAGGAGAGGAGAGGCCCGTTTACCGGGGAGAGAGAAAGGGTGCGCCAGTGAGCACAGAGTTAAATGTTTTATTCAGCCGCTGTATAAAGTGCCATGGCCCCTCGGGCCCGGCAATGGCCGCCTAAGTGGCTACAGTGACAGCAGAAATTGGCCTTTTGGTTTACAAGCTGTCGCCACAGAGCCAGACGCAGCAAAGCAGCCAGATAGCGGCAGAGCGCGGGAAGAAAAAAAAGAAGAGAAAATTTGACAAGCGAGAGTTGAAGCGAGGGGGGATTGTCACAGGAACGGCAAGAAAGGGACAGAGAGGGAGAGCAGCCAGAAAAATAAAATGGATTCAACCATCGTGGTCAAATTGAAAAGAGAGTTTCTTTTAAATCAAGTGGTCAAGCTAACAAAGTGTCCATAAGGCGACACACAAGCACGGGACGTAGGGAAGCTCATTCTTATCGCTGTGTGTGTGTGTGTGTGTGTGTGTGTGTGTGTACGTATGCACGGTGAAATGTCACACTAATGAGGTAAGAACATGTGGCACATTTGTGAGCAGCGACCTCGGCTCCATAGCACCACCACCTGGACAAAACCGCACGGGATCCCACGCTACGTTTCGCCGTGTGCATTCATCCCTGACCCACGGGAACATCACATTTTCAAAAAGTGCCTTACCTCGGGTCTGAGGGTGGCCCTGGTGCAGGCGGGGCAGATGGGCCCGTGGCGCGAGAAGCCAACGGGCAGACGTCTGGTTCTGTTCTGGCAGGCCGGGTCCTCGCACACCAACCAGCCCTGTGAGCGACACACAAGAGTACTTAAAAAAAACGCGGGGCTTCGGGGGAGCCGCTTGGGTTGGGTGGTCCAATAAAATAGTTAATAATAATAACAACAACAACAACTAATCCCAGATCTAAATAACTTTTTCTAAACTTTTTCTTTTCCTCAACCCCTCAGTTGAAACGCATCACAAACCCAACGGACCCCCAGACTTCCTCTGTTGATCTGGTTGTTGAAGTTTCGAGAGAAGAAACTAAGCACAAAGACCAAATGTCAAACACTAAAGGAATTTTCTAAAAACCAAATAAATAAACTCTATAAATACACACTTGTGGTAACGAAGATGAATTCAGTTGTAAATGGTTTCCTGCATTTAGCTGCTGTACTGCTGCGGAACACAACTGGCACGAAAAGCAGTCGGAGGGAGAAGAAGAGGTAAAAAAAATAAAAACATGGCCGAGGGAAGAAGGTGGTTTACATCTGACTACACCTCCGGTCCCGGTCTCCCTCCCTCCCCCCTCCCTCACACGCGCATGTATCTTCAGCTGCTGGCTGTCGGGGGGGTGTGGGTGCTCGTCAGGCCAGTGGACGGGCAAAGCGGCGGTAGTTAGGACCTCCTGGGGGGAGGCAGTGACCCTGGGCAGGTGCTGTGGTCCAACCCTCTCAATCTCTCCGTATTCTTGGAGACTCCTCCACCCCCTCTGCTTCTTATGCCCTGTCATTACTAGGGGGGGGAGGGAGGGGTTAATGCCCAACTAATGACAGAGCATAAGACCCACCGCCATCAGTGCCTCTGCTCCCCCCCCCACCTTATCTAAACTTTCTGTCCTTTCATTCACTCAGAATACCCCCCCCCCCCCCCCCTAAAAACACTGCACCTGTCTCCCCCTTCCCCCACATACACGCATGCAGTAATCTCTCATTGATTTATACGTCGACCTTTGTGTCGTCTCCTCGTCAATTTGCAGCCGAAGCTCAAAAGTGTTTTTTTTTTTCTTCCCAGCTGACTTTACTGTGTGTTTATAACTACTGTAATAAACAGCAGCTCGTTAAAAAGGGTGAGGGGGCTGGGGCCATAAATCCATATTATAATCATCTCTTCGAAATCATATGACGCAGCGTTCGTTGTTCGGATCGATTAAACGCGCATAATAACGCAACCGGAATCAAGTTTTTCTTTTGGGGGGAAAACTAGAAAAAACTATCACCTACGTCCGATTCCTCCGAGCGTGCATGTAAACATAGGCGCGAGTTTTTGTGATGTGCAAAGACAAAAACTATACAACTACACATCTGAAGTTGCTTTGTTCCCTTTTTGTTGAAGCCTTTCTCGCTGTGCATGAAACGTGCAGAAGCCACCCGCTGCTAAGTCTCTCTGGCGTTATAGGGTTGCATGTTTTGTGCAATCAGCACGTTTTATGTTTTATATTGGATTGTTAAAACCGCTGCATAAGAATACATGCCAACAGTCCAGGCGTTATAGGGGGTCCTTATTATGCCAACAGGAAATATCAGACATAAGGGGAGATAATTACTTCAATCCACACACACACACACACACACACACACACACACACACACACACACACACACACACACACACACACACACACACACACACACAAAATCAATTAGGAAGTCCCACAGTTCTCAGCTTTACCCACAAACCCGTGCTCCAGGACTAATTATCCAGAACACCTCTGCTCTTGTGCAAAGAGCCGAGCATCATGGGAAACGAGACGGCTTCCTCGTCTCTGATGAAGACGAATGCAGGACAATGGTTGGCGGAGGCGGGAGATAAGGGAGATGACTTTCAATGGGCGGCTGTTTGATCTCGCTCTGTTATTTCTTGTGACACAAGCCTTGGCACACACCGCCGTTCCCATGGGACATACAAGATGAATGAACACACACACACACACACACACACTCTGCGTTCAGTGTGAGCACAAACGTATTAAATGATTACCGTTAATGCACATTAAAATCATTTAATAAGATAAACATCAGAGGCTCAACCTCACAGGACTGTGAGGGCTGAAAGAAGGAAACGATACCAACGATGTTCCTGTGCTCCGTTAATGTGGGCAAACACACACAGACACACACACACAAATATAAAGAGCGAGGTGAGCAGTGAGAGAAGTGCAGCATTTGAGCTTTTGAGCCACATATAAACCACTAAAAACAAGGTGCACATGAGGACTCTGATGCGGTAGAGAGAAATATATAATTGAGGCATTTCACTGCTGCAGGGTGGAGGGTGTGGGGGGTGTACAGTCGGATGTGAGAGAATAAAGGCTCATAATTGCATAATTACTACAGTGGATACCTGACACACTGAATGCAGACGTCAAATTTATGCATGATTTAACCAAATAGAGGCAGGACCCGCGCTGAGGGGCCCGCCTGGAAACACAGCCGCTCTCTGCTTCCTCCTCTGACTCCGGCGGCTCGTTTCTCTTTCCAAAGCACTCGGCTCGGCTACGTTCCAACGTTTATTTGGTGGTCTGACACTTAAGAAGATCCCCATCATCAAGTACGGATCAGTTGCTCTGTTAAAACACGTTCTACTACTAATCTATTAACTGTCTAATTGTTAACGATAACAAAGTGACATCGCTCCTGTACACAAAATAGGATTTGGTTAGTCAGCTCTGGATAGAATTACTCTGGTTGTAAAGGCAAATAAAAGAACAGCAGTTTAACAGCAAATGACCTGCGCCATATTAACATCTAAGACTGCACCTATTCTCGTGCCACGCCGTCGACGTAGTAACGGATATATCACCTTAATTCCATGAAGAGTTAAGTGATGCTTTTGCATAATTCTTAATGCGTCGGAATAATCCTACGAGCCTTCGCCGGCTCTGAAAGTCTACACGTCCGGCTCTAAAGGGAATGGACCTAAAAATCTGTCCACATCACAAACGCGCACACTCTCTCACACACACACACACACACACACACACACACACACACACACACACACACACACACACACAGAGTGAAAGGAGCTCAAACGGTTCCACTTTGTACCTCCTCCGCTTAATCAAAGCTTCTCTATTCAGCAATTTGACCTTTTGTTCAAAACAGGATTATCACCTTCTCTGGTCTTCATTCACCCGCTCTCTCTCGCTCTCCCCCTTTCTACTCTTGCCCCTCAGCCCGTTTCCAGGGGCGACCCGCATGACGAGGGTAATTGCAATAATTTGTTAAATGCCATGGCAACGGCGGTTAGATGGGAGGGGTTACGGGAAAAAGAAAAAGAAGAATTGGGTGGTTCAGGAAACAAGCGAATGTCTCATTTTGCCAAAGACAGCGGTATGAGGGGAGGAAAGCATGACAACTATGTGTGTGTGTGTGTGTGTGTGTGTGTGTGTGAGAGAGGGAAAGTGGGGAGTGAACAAGTGTTTGCCCATTCTCAGGGGGGCTGGTTTATTGATAATGGTGTGCATGGTGGAGGGGAGGAGGGGGGGGCAGGAGGTAATTTCACTAATGATTAAGGTCTCTGTGGTCCCAGCTTAGGACGCCTACACACACGCACGTATATACTCGTACACACACACACACACACACACACACACACACACACACACACACACACACACACACACACACACACACACACACACACACACACTGAGCTGCAGAGCTTTCACACTATCTGGCCAGACAAACAGCTCTATTTGAACTCTCCCTCGGCCTGAAAGGAATCCTTAATTACACAATATTACCCCTCTTCTTTGCCCCGCTGTGTGTGTGTGTGTGTGTGTGTGTGTGTGTGTGTGCCGTCTCCGCTACCGCTCAGCCTCCAGTGGTGTGTCCGTGTGTGCCAGTGTGTTGCCGTGCGAGGTGTAAGTATTCAGCGGCAGCAGCTGTTTCACACATCGTGACAAAGGGGATGAGGGGTGTGTGTGTGTGTGTCGGGGGGGGGGATCACTCCCCGCACATTCACCCAACTAATTGATTTCTGTTCAGCACTGTGGGAGAGTTACCCCCACATACACATACGCACTTTTACAGACAGACATTCCACCCGCTCAAGACGAAAAGGTGTTGGAAGCTACCAGGCAGGGGGGAGGCGGGCAGAGGAGGGGGGACACCCTACAAAGACAACACAGGCACTTGGGACAAACTGGTAATTTTCAGTTTACACAACAGCTAGATTGAGAAACTACAGCCACGCGAGGCGGTTCTTGGACGCCACGCCAACCGTGCTAACATGCTAACCGTGCTAACACGCGGCGGTTTAGCAGACACTTTGCACCGTGATCCCCATTTAAAATATTAAAAGGAAACCGATTCTCAATGCTAGGAGTGTGCTGTGCAGGTATCATACACCAACGTGCTGGACTGGCGGCAGTGATGGCGGCGGCATTCCTGGCCAGGTGGCAGCAGTGCATGATGGGTAAGTGGTTTGTTGGCAGCGCGAGTGTCTTGTTCCATCGGCGGTGCCAACAGCCCCATCAGTCCGACTCACTCAGTCCGACATCGACACCGAATAAAGCGGCTGGAGCCCACCGAGGAAAATCTTGGTCCTGAAGTTTTAAGCCACGACGGAAGGAAACATCTGGATGGTTCCTTAGAATGACTAAACTGACTGACTGGATTGTAAATGAACGCATCATTATTAGTTATTTGCAGTATTTAAAATTATTTTTTTATCCATTAATAATTTCATGCTTGAATAAAAACAGTCAACCCCCCCGCTCTCATCCACGCGCAAGACACAATCACACACACAAACACACACCTTTTTCCTTTGAAAAATATGGATTAGGAAGTACTTTTGTCTGGAAATGGAAGTAACCCAGCGACTCTCTGACCGGAGGGTGTCAGGTGCCAAAATGTTATATAGATTGTACTTGAAAAAATGAAATGAAACCTGGATATCTTGGGCCGAATAAAAAAAAGTCTAAAAGAGGCTCCAAAATTGAGTTATTAAAATCGGTGAACAATTAAACAGACGCACGGCGGCAGCATTAAATATATTTGACGTTTGGGTCGATATTCAATGTGTGTTCGTCTGCGTGGACATCTGAACCGTGAAGTGGGAAATCATGGATCCATATTTCCACACTTGCGAGACGGTAAAATGTGACTAACTGCGACAATAATTCACTCTGTAAAGCGTATAATCCAACATAGTAAGTGTTCTATCAAAGCCGAGAGCAGTATTGAACCAAACTCCATCTTTAAAGTCAAATACATTGGATTTGTTGTATTTTAGCTCTCGCCGTATCTCCAGCGATTCACTTCTCCCAGATGTATCATTTAAATTTCACCTTTTAACCTTCACCAGAAACTGACAGAGTGTGCATGTTAAACGTGGTATTCAGAGTAAGAATGGCCATTTAAGTATTTTCACAGATCGTGCTCCTTCCAATCTTTCTCGTGCTCTTTTCCTTTCTGCCGGCATAATGTGCTCTTTGGTTTTAAAATGTCAGCGCGGTGCCCTGCTGAGGCTTCCATCAACTCCCGTTCGGCAGAGTTTTTGATGGCTTCGCTCGTCATTACTGAATCAGTTAAATCCCACATTGTGTTAAACGCAGTCCAACCCTTTCATAAACACTTAAGAGGAAGGTCAATTTTCACAAGAGGTTTCCGCTCTAAACACTTCAGCCTGTGTTATGTCAGCTGAAGCGTTCATTTAATTTCTTTGGCAATCCGTTGATTGATAGTGGCACACAAACAACCACAATGCTTTGCAATACTAATGGTTTAAAAAGAAGAGCTTTTGAGGGATGTGGATTTGCATTCATTGTGTATTTTTGATCGAGAACAGCATGTGTGCTGAATAGATTTGGGAATTAACTGAAGTTCCTTCAGAGAAAAAGGGTTGAACACTAAATGTAAAAGTCGCCCGTGCAGTTGCAAAGTACGCACATGTACGTGTGTGCGCTTGTGTTTCTTTCAGTGCGTGTGAGAGAGTTGTGTTGCCAACCGGCGTATGAACGGCGAAAGTACTCACGGAGTAGTATTTTCTGACGTGGCGCCGGACGTCCTGGAGCAGCTTGTTGCTGATGTTGACGCCGTAGTCGACGGGTTGACCCCTACAGGGGAGGTGACAGCATCGCATCAAGCTGGGCTCCAGCTTCGATCCCTGAAACGGAGAAGATGCGTCACGGCGACAAAATGTACATCGCGCAAATCGAGCCGGGCTCATTGGCAAGAGTCCGACCTGCAGAATTCTACCTTTGGGGAACCGTTTGATGAACTCAGAAGTCGGGTTGCTTTGGCTTTTGTTTCTTCTTAAGAGCCAAACCCTTCAGAACAGCAAGAGAACGTAACGCGCTGTGTAATCGGCTCTCGAGCAGCTGTGCTGTGCAACGCTATTTTAATACCTACGTCGTCATGCGAGTGTGAACAACATGGCAGTGGGATGGAAGGTGTACGAGGTAAAAGCAGGACACTTTAACATCATTGTAGCCCGAAGAAGTGGCAAAAAAACCCACCAAACAGGTCAACGTGACCTCTATAGCAATGAGTGAACGCTACCACGCTGCGTAGTTAAAAGAAACGAAATGCAACAGCTTTAAAACACTCCTTTACACTTGAAGTCCATTTAACTGTCGCGTTGACGGCAGTGGGAAAAAAAAAACCGCACACAGCTTTTTTGTTTGCCTACTTCATTCTTTTTACAAAACCCCACAATTTCTGCCCGTGCAAATCAATCAACTCCTTTGACTCCCTAAATATGCAGCTACACACATTAACCGGCTCCATCTTGGCCTATCCGCCTCGTCCTTTTCTTCTTCTGCACGCAGCCCCCCCTTCTTCTCCTCCCCTCCTGCTTTTTTATCTCACTGGTTTCATTCCAAACTTCATTTTGATAACAGGATTCTCCCTCCCAAACAAGTTGTATCTATAAAAATAAAAACAAAAAAAAAAACGTCTTACTCACCAGTTAATTTACAGCTGTGAAATGAAAACAAAATATTTGAAATCACCCAGAGTATTTTCTGTGTATGTGCGAGACCTCTGTGAGAGGTGGAAAACGTGGAATCTAAAACACACACCTCCAAGTATCGTCTACAGGCACAAAACAGATATCATCCAAACGGTCTGCGGCATAATTAGCCCCCTGCAAACCCGTATAACCCTTCCATAAACATTTATCTACCCTCACTGCTTTTCAGCTGCGTTTTGGCTCCTCAGAACTCTGGGAAATCCCTGGCGCTCGGTCCAGCTCGTTCTGCCTCCACGCTCCATCCTTTCATCCCCCGTGTACCCCACTACCCCCATCAAACAACTTTCCTCCTCTGTCTGTCCTCCATCATCCATCACTGCCTCCTACCATCTCCGGCTCTGTGTCAGTGCTGGAGTCAAGGCCCCGCCTGTCCTCCCACTCTCGCTGAGCTGTTAGACCATGTTCACCACCCTAATTAACGTACCGTCTTATCAGTTTCTCTCTGTGCGTGTGTGTGTGTGTGTGTGTGTCCGCCGGCCTCTGACACATGCTGTGAAATTAAGCGGTAATCAGAAAGAACGCCGATTGGTTTGGTCTGGAGTTTGGAATTATTTCAACCAACTTTTCAATACCACATATTAAAGTTTAAGTAGGAAGGAGTCGTTTTGACCACAATCTACCGCTTTTCTGGTATGCTTAACCCGCCTTTCAGTGACACACGTCGGTGCGTAATGACCTTTACGGAGTGCGTATAACACTCCTCTTTTTAATTTAATGCGAGCGCTCTCTGCCAGCGGAGGACACAGGGTTGTCAGTTTTATTGGTATCTTTCAGACGGGAAACGGCTGCGTGCCCTGCTGCTCATTAGAAGCTGATAACACACACAAACGACCTTGGCCTGACAAATGGTAGGAGATCACTGTGTGTGTGTGTGTGTGTGTGTGTGTGTGTGTGTGTGTGTGTGTGTGTGTGTGTGTGTGTGTGTGTAGCGGTTGTGGAAAGGCTTTTCAAGTCGTGGAGTCCAAACTATGCCAATGAAAACAGAGTCTGTGCTGGAGCCAGGCAGCTGTCTAAAAATACAGACGGAGACACAATATGGAGGATGACTAAAGCATGAATCCTTCACAGGAGGTTTGACTTTTTCCTTTGAAAAAAAACGTTCTTCTCCGCTCGCAGACTGTCGAACGGCTGCTCTACCGATTAATCCATTGCACCTGGGAAACACATTGTCGGCGATGAAGCAGACTTACCGAAAATACCAAATTGAAAAGAAAAGACCAATTTTCTGAAAAGTTTTCTGGGTCGATATGCATTTTCATGAGTTTGTCAATGCTGTCAGTGTAGAAAAAACAGTAAACAGAAGAAAGATAAAAGAAGGATGTTTGTGGCGGCTGACGTGGTTACACCAAGACTTACGGCTCCTTCGAAGACGCCGTCGTAGACGTTGTCAGTGCCGCATTGAGGGCAGGCGAAAGTGAACCTCTCGCAGTCTTTGTAGCGCTCTTCGTCGGTCAGCTGGACCGGAGCTCCCAGCATGCCGTCTGCCTCTTCCTCCCTCTGGTACTGCTGGTGAGCACGGAAGTGGCTCGGGTCCAGACCTGGTAGAAGAGAATCCTAGTTTACGCCACAGAGTGTTTGTAACACAGACGGGCAGAATACTGTGCAATTTTCCATTCAAGCTACTTGATTTTATCACGAGACAACAATAAAACATCTATTTTGTACTTTTATTAGGCTGTTGTGACGGCTTTTCTATCTTTGGCTGACTCAGCTGTCACCACACCACGGATGCGGAGTAATGACTGATGCCGCGTCCATAAAGAGAGATCAGTACCATCACTCAAAGTAAGCGGTGCCCCGCAAATACCACATGGTCGTTGTTTATTTATACAACAGTATGCCTGTAAACTGCAAACGGGTCATTTGGTCACCAGAAGACGAGTCTCCCTCGCCGGGTTTTAATTAAATATTTCATCATACATTTGTCCTCTATATTTTGTTAAATATATATATATATATATATATATTTAAAGCCGCGGCATGTCAGCTCACCCAGCCACGTGGCGACGAGCACGCTGTCGATGCCCTCGATGGGGTCACAGATGCGGGACACCACGGGGTGGACCTGCTGGGCGAGGTAGTACTGGGTGTCCACGCTGAGGCCCTCCTGCTTCTGAAGCTGCTCCAGCGCGTAGGCCCTCTGACTGGCTGCCAGCGTGGAGCCGTCCTGGGGAGAGGAGGGGGGGGGGGGCACAGAAAATACTTTTAACAATGGCGCCCCCCCCCCCCCCGAGAGGACAAGTGGACCAGTGTCTCGAAAGACACGCCCGTGTTTCTCTCCCATACACACACACACACCTTGCAGATGATGTAGGACACAGTGTCTCCGGATTTGACCCTCCGGCCGCCCTGGGAGTTGATCCACAGAGCCACGTGGACGTGAGGGAGGCTCTTCTTGTCGGGGTAGTCCTGGGGGTCTTTCGTCAGAGCCTGGAGGGAAGAGAAGCGCGACAGCAGCGACGATCAGAAAACGGGACGCCCCGGCCCTTCTGGTCGACGACGACGACGTGCGACACAAGAATGAGCCGCAGCCGGCGTCCGTGAGAACACGCGTTCCCCCGTAGAACAAGCGGCGGCAAAGTAAATCATTGATTGTAAAATCCGCTGCTGCAAAGGTACATTTGCCTTTGATGACCATTACGGCCTTATCTCAAGGAAGCCGAGCACTCAAGTGACAATGATGATTCTGTGAAACAGACACACAGCCGCGCCCTCACCTTGTTTATCTCAAACTGGTTAAGCGGAATCGTTCCGGCTGCTACTTTCTCGCCCTCCTCCATCAAGTGTTTCTGGATGTTCTCCACGATGACGTCGCGACTCTGGTCCGACAGGATTTGACCGATCACGTAGCTGCGAGAGCGGAGGAGCACATTTTACCGTGAAGCGGATACCTGGTGTGTGTGTGTGTGTGTGTGGGGGGGGGGGGTTGGTTTTCTGACGTACTTTCCACATTCCTTGGCCAGGTCGCACCAATCCCTGCGGACGATGTCCAGGCCCTTGAGCTCCTGCTTGACGCTGTATCGTCCTTCGCCGTGGTTCTCCACCACCAAGGCGGCATATTTCTTCTTCTTCAGCAGCAAAAGCGACTTGAACACGCCGTCGATGTCGATCTCCAGCAGTTTGTAGAGCTTGTTCACTTCGGCCTTCACCTTGTTGCCCAGCTTGTAGACTTCCTCCAGAGACCTGCTGTTGGTGTTGATCATGATGGAGTCGGTATCTCCGTAGATGACCTCCAGATTCATCTGAGTCACAGAGGTAGAAAATGACATTAATGGACGGTCTTATAAGGAAGAGCATACATCAGTTTAATAATTAAACAATAAAACAACTTTCTTGAGCAACACTTAATGCATTTCAAATGCGTTCACATATAAAAACTGCTAGTTGCAACAGTGGACTTTTAAAATACAAAATGGGCTCAATACACGCTTTTCCCCTCTAACTTCTTATTCTATATTATACTACTTTATTTTATTCAAATACATACAATATTTTCCTCCCCATATTTTTGCTGATTGTGTAACATGTTAATTCCTCCTCACACACTAAATATTAATTATTATTAAGATGAATAATAATAGAAATAAGAATTACGTGTCAACAGTGGACCAGCCTGTATAAAATAAATGGATAATGTACTAATGTATATGTAAGAAATAGTTGTCACATTCACCATTACAGACACAGATCAAAGAGCAAATCCTGCAAAGATTTCAACATTTCCTTCAGAAGAATAGCTTGTTGATAACTCACCTTCTGAACCATTTCTTTGGTGTGCATCAGAATCTGAAGGACAACAACACAAACAACAAAAAGCATTACTGCATATTAAGCATTTCAGCACAGTAAACAAACAAATCCCGCAGGAACAAACAATGATTAAATATGAATTCCATGTTATTTATTTTGTGCACGCGCGTGTGTGTGTGTGTGTGTGTGTGCGCGTGTGTGGACATCGGAGCGGAGCAGGTGACTTGCTTTTAAATGGGGGATAATTGGCTAAGAGGGCAATTATGAGAGCATGCTGTGACAGGCGTCTATTCAACCCCCACACATCCGAGCCAAGACACACACTCACACACCTTAATGACTCGTAATGGCCTTTATCACCCGCAGAGTGAGTGACGGACAAAGAGGAGAATTCTGTTAACGCAGGTTCTCCACTGTGTGTGTGTGTGTGTGTGTGTGTGTGTGTGTGTGTGTGTGCGGCAGAGGGAGAGATCTGAACAGCGGAGCGATCCCAACAGGGGGAGGCCCAGAAGAGGGGAGTGCAGCGGGTAGATGGGATGGGATGGGATGGGGGGGGGGGTACCTTCGGATGGCTAATCTGGGGGGTCGGCGGGATGGAACGCAGTGTGACCTGTCACCAGCAATCTGCTCCTCAATCAACCACGGCCGCATATAAACACAAACCCCCGACTCCCCTCTTGTGCGCCGTGTGGGGACAAGGACGTGGCTATTTCAGAGTGTGAGGAAGGGGCGGGGTCAGGCTGTGGCCGGACCCGGAGGGAAGGGAGGAGGCGGGAGGAGGCAGGGGGGGAGGTGTTCCACTCCCTGAAACCAGAGTGGGACTTAAGCATGCTTTATGGGCTGCTACATACCGCTGTACAGCGGCAGGCTGGGGGGGTGAATCATTCAAAGAACAGTCTCCTCCGTTAGGGACTGCAGTCAAGGTCAAGGTCTCACCCCACACACACACACACACACACAAATCCCGCCCAGAGCACAGGCGCACTAAATTGTGCCGCTAAGCTTTGGTGCAGACAAAAGGACTCGCCCTTCTCCTGCTAGTTTAGGCGACGAAGAAAGGGAGGGGAAAGGGAAATACATCTTTGATACACCTAATAACTAAACACTTAGCTCCCTTTTTTGAGGGACAGCAGCCTTCAATCACAATGTCAAAAGAGCTTTCATCCCAGTTAAGATGTGACTGAGCCCAAAGTAAAGCCGCACCGACTCCCTTTTTAATATTCCACGTGTTCATAAAACATTTTTCCTCATGACATGAACAACACTAACAATTACAAAGGCTGGTCCGGCAGAAGCTGAAAAGCCTAATAAAAAAACCCATCAATACCAGTTTAAGTATTCACTGTTTTTACAATATTGTCTTGCTGCCGGACGGAAGTGAAACCATTATAATTATTGATGTCGCACTCCATTGACAAAAAAAAAAAAAAGAAGAATTATTCTACCTCACAGTTCACTGCTGCCTCGGTCAGTTTGCTTAAGTGTTTGAGCGCTTTGTAGGAGCACGAATGATGAAATAAAAACATTGTAAATATAGCGTACACCTAAAACTAACAGCGCTGTTCGGTTGTTTTATTTAGGTGGTGAACATGTGTTTTGCCCACAGCGGTGGACCGCTCTAACGAAGGGAACATACGGACTTTGGATCAGTAACGAAGACAAACCGTCCCAGGGGAGACTCGCTGAAAGAGGGGGACGGACTAACAAGTAATGATCAGAGACAGGCGGGAGAGACGAATCGGGAGATGCGGGAGAGACGGAGACAAAGTGAGGCGAGCCGGGGGGGGTTTAGGTGAGAATGCGTTGATGTAATTGATGTGGGGACTCATTTAGGTTTTCCATACGCCCGCCAGTCTCAGCAGGACAGACCGCTTTGAGGAATGGACCGCGTGAAAGACGAGCGGTTTGACCATGATGCAATTCGTGCGTGTGTGTGTGTCAGAGAACGCTCATCTTTAAGCGCATACCAACACACATACTAAATGGACCAATGCAAACACATTGCCCCCCAGGGGGTACAGAGTGTGTGTGTGTGTGTTGTCCGTCCGATGACTACATCAGTCAGCACCGCGCATGCTGCTCATACTGGGGAAGACAACTGAAAAAGCTCGACTCGTATTACTTCATGTCGTCCTTCAGTGAAGCGCTTACACAATCTACCACATTATCCGAGAGGGATTCATGTATTGGACAGAAAGACTTTTAAAGTCAACATGAGATCCAGGAACTTGCATTCAAATTAACTATTTAATTCAAATAGAGTTGTGAACATTTGCTAAATTGGCTTTACAAACATTTGAACCGTTTTTTTGTATTCACAGCGGCTTCTATGCTTCTGTCTGCGGCCGCCTTCAATTAAACCAGATTCTCGAACGAGGTGGATCTTCTTGTAATGTTTGTACATTCTTGTTTAACGTCTGTTTTTATTCATTCTTTTTAAATGTTTTTACTTTTACTCTTTTACGCTTCCTACGGTTTCACGTGAAGCACTGACTTGCCCCGTTGTTGAAATTTGCTATACAAATACATTTGCCTGGTCTAAAAACCAGCTAAAAACCCTCCAATCACCAAAGCTCCTCTAGGTCACATGGTTAAACATCCCTCCATCCTCCTGCCTCTTCCCCTCCTCAGTTAATTAGCCTGGACAGTAACTGAGCAGCTTAAGCAAAGGGGGTGAAGCATTTATTTATTTTTCTAACAATGGGAATCGTTACATCAAGTCGTCCTTCCTCTTCAGGCCGTACTAATCACTACCACAAAGGTAAAAATTGGCTGTAATTTGGGGCCTGGCAACACCACAGAGTTCACGTGTTCCCACAGTGCGACATTTTCACTTTGTTTTTTTCTTGCAAAACCCAACGTACCCAACAATCTGCCCCGAGACCGGAGGACACACACTAACACCCCCCCCCCAGCGATGTGGAGGTGGTGCCACCGCGAATCAACCGGACTCCAGCCAAAGATTTCAGAACAGACACGAGATGATTTATGATTTATAGATTCAATACATTTACAATCCTGTGAACAAATTACGTCTGTGTGCGCACCACCTCATCGCGCTAATTGACGAGTGGTTCGGCCCCGTTGGGATATTCGGCTCAAACCCCCCCCCCCCCCCGCCCGTTGCTCGGCCGGTCGCCCCGGCCTCATTGAGAGGGGGTTTGTGTCTTGTTGTGAGGACCAACCCGCCCGAATCAGAGTGTTAACTGATCTGCTCCGGATGAGTGACACATAGTTTACAAAAGTTGAAGGGAGGCAATGAAGACAATCCAGAGGAACGCACAAAACGCAATGCCCCTCTCCGTGCGCACGCACACACACACACACACACAGGAGGTCAGAGCCTGTTAAACTTCAGTGCGACAGAGAACCATTGTAAAAAGATCCCGGAGCAGCAGTGACGATTGTTCAGAGAAGCGCTGAAAAGCATTTTGGGATGACAGTCGGCCACCGACACACACACACACACACACACACACACACACACACACACACCTTTCACTTACACAATCTCACACGCAGACATTAAAGACTCACAGTCCAGCGTTCTCCCTGGAGTTACAACTTTGGGGGAAGAGTTCTTTTAAAGCATCGGCTGTCACGCATTTTTTCAAAAGTTCAATAACACAAACGCAGTGAAAGTATAGGGTCGAGTTCAGCAACGCGCATCCCTGCCCCCCACGGGTCTGCTAACCCGACCCTCTAATCGTTCTCTCATTTACAGCTGCAGCGGTGCCAGAGACGCCACGCGCCGGATCAATCTGTACTCAATCATAATCCCCCCCCGCCCGCCCCCCCCAGCAGGCGGCTCGCACGTAGCCTCATTAGCAGGTGTTACCAAAGTCGCTGTTTGGATTGTGAAACCTTGTCCCGTCCACGGTCGCATGCCCCCCCCCACAGACGAGCCAACGTTGCCGAAATAGCAGCGCTGCTCCCATGTGACTATTTGTTAAGCCCACACGGCCTGGAGTGAAGCCGGCGCTGCGGACTGCAGGTCCAATGGAAACATGCGTCCTTCATTTCAGCAGACGGGAGCATGCGCACGCACGCACGCACACGCACGCACGCACACGCACGCACATGCACAAGTGTTGGCAAGCTTGTGTACTATTAATTCTAATTCTGGGAAATGTAAAAGTGACCGGTGTGAATCCCAGGCAGGAGTAGCGCTTGAGCGCCTGAATGAAAGAAATGGGGACAATAATATACTCACAACCCAACACACACGCACACGCGCACACGCACACGCACATGCACACACTAATCCGAAATGATTTGTGAGACAATAATGATACAGAAACTGAATGGACACCAGACACAATAATATTTACTTAGACTTCATTACAAGCACGCACACACACACACACGCACATTGGGGTTTAACCCAAACAAAAACTTTGACCTCTCCACACCCGCCGCCCCGTTACTCAAGCTTCTCGCCCTCACTCCGCATGCCATCCGAAAATGTGAACTACGAGCTCCTGTCATGCTGTTTTTAAACACAAGGGCAGAGACTCAATTGCAGCAGACTGGCTTTCAGGAGTCACCTGACACACACACACACACAGACACCTGTTAATAGTTGTCAGGTTTGCTGGCAAAGGGGTCAAATGTCAAACCAATTTGCATTCCGGCCCAATCAACGGCTTCTTGCCGGCCTCTGTTGTTAACATCACTTGACGATGAGGAGGACCTACACAAGCTACCGCGCTAACACGCTAACACACAAAGGGTTCCTCAGAGATTCGCCCTGCAGCCCATCTCTGCAGGAGGAGCCCTGCTCTCTACGTTCAACCGCTGTGCGCAAAGCAGTCGGTCAAAGTTGGAGGGGGGGGAGGTCTTCCTGGTATGACAAATGCATTTCTTATGCTTGATGATTACGGGCCGCATGTGTGCGAGTGGTCATCGTTTTTGTGAGCTCGCTTCTCTCCGCGGCCAACTGTCCTCTGGCAAACACACAAAAGAAACCCGAAATAACACCGATGGGGGTCGAGGGGAACATCAATCTGTGGCTGAGTAATCCTAAACCTTCACCTTCCCCTTAATACCTCCCCCCTCACACCGCCCCCATTAATAACCGCACGCACATACCAGGGCCACAACAAATGGTCCAGCGACAAAGGGCAAAGTTCAGCCAGCAGCGCTTGTGAGACACGAAACGTACGGAAGGAGCGGACACACAACGGGGGGGAGAGGTGGGGCTAAGTGGGGACTTTCCCCTCTTAACTTGGTGCCTCTGATCAGAGGATTCACCGCCAAGGGCCCCCCTCCCTCCCTCCCTCCTCGGGCTGAGAAACTGCTGTGAGTGGGGTGGGGTGAAGGGGTGGGTGGGTTAGGCCTCAATTTAAAACGAGAGAGAAAGATGAGTCAAGCCAATCAATAAATAAACAGGACACGTGCACATTCATCCCAACACTAGTCCCAACAGATGAAGGGGGGATGGAGGGGGGTGGGAGGAGGAGGATTTATACTGCAGACAGCGTACGTGTTACAATTGCAAAAATAAAAAGCCTCCCACATCTACGGGCGCAAATGTGACGAGCCGGCTCTTCTGGCTCGCCGCGGTCGGAAACTACCGCCAGCTATTTGGCTCGCCGGCATTTCAAACCGTCGCCTGTACCAAAGCGCCCGTGGGCCGCGAGCCAGCCGGCGGGCGTACGGTCGGAGGCTGACGCCGCTGACGCCAACCCCCCTGCCCGCCCCACAAGAAGCACTTTAATAAAACTGCATTTTAAACTGGATTTGTCAGACGCAGATCCAGTCAGAGCAACTGGGTCATAAGGAGATAAAGGTCACAGGGAGAATAAGCGTCCTCCACACCGGGACACCCGGCCATTTGATGCCGGCCGTATAAATAGAGACGCCCGGGAACTTGGATACAAAAGTAAACAAAAACACAGATTGGGCAAAGCAGGTCGAGGTGCATGCCAGGAAATCAGCTAACCGGAGGGAGAGTGGCTCTGACTGATGACCTTTTGATCCACGTTCTCCCCGCGCGGCGCGCTGAGAAAGACGAGCGTCCCCTCGTTATCACGGGTGATGCAGAGCGGACCGTTTGCTCCTGTGTGCGTTGTCCAAACATCGTGGTGCTTTGTGCGTGTTGTAACCGCTGCAATGTCCATGTAATATAAATATTCTGCTTTTTGTCAAACTTGACAAATTAAAAAAAAAAAGGAATTTTGTGAATTAAGAACGCATTGCAAATACTTTGTATTCTATACATAATTGTGTACTGATATCTGAATAGGTTCTCCTCACAATACGACAGACAGATCTGACAGATGATCAACTGTTATATTGAATCATCCCTAATTGTCGGGTACGTGAATGGAAAACCTTTTATACATAAAACCAAGATGTTGTATCATTTTTAACCTCAACTGCCACAATTTTGGTAAAAACACTTAAATAATGCTAAAGGGACCCATGTGGTTAAATTGTAATTAATAAGTAAAAGAAGCAAGGCAGTCTGTTTACAAATACAAACTGTTTATGTCAGACGAGGCCCTTTAACTATTCAGAATGCCGACTTGAATTACCCGCCAGCGATCTTCAGTTTCACAAATGCAGCACAAAGTAAAATGAATTTAACACCATCCATCTCTGGCTTTTAACAAAAGACACACGCAGTAAGTCTGCAGAGAGCAAAGCTCCCGCAGAACCAAGTGTACACCTTTCTCTCTCTCACACACACACACACACACACACACACACACACACACACACACACACACACACACACACACACACACACACCATGCCCTCTATTAGAGAACACAATGAGTGTGTAAGGGGATCTTAATGAAGGACTCCCCCGAGGCAAAGCTTGATGCCTCTGCTGAGGATGTGTACGGTTGGAGCTCATTAAATGAACATGAGTACTATGACAGACATGGTGGGAGAGTGGGAGTGTGTGTGTGGTGTTCAGTTACGATACCAGATTTAGCCGTTTGTGTCATGTAGGACACACGCCTCTGTGCGAGGATTTATTGAGCGTGTGGGCCCGTCTTGTTCCATTTGTGTATGTGCGCTGGGAGAAGTCATTACACAACCATACTTTGCATGCAGAGTGTGTGAGCGTTGTGTGCGTGCGTGCGCCCGGGGCATGTTATGTTACGGGGAAATACGGAGCTATTGATATGACAGAAAACACAACAGGTCTCTCATCTTGACAAAATGAACGCGGGGGAATAATCATATTTTGTAACCAGGGGAGGGAAGGACAACGGGGGAGGGGGGGGGGGGGGGTCATGTTACGGAGACAGCAGGAGGACCAATGGGAAGGAATCCCCAAACAGAAATAGAAGATGAGGAAGGAGTCAGAAGGAATAGAAACAAATGGAGGAGTGGTCCACGATTTATTTTATGCAGCACTGCCCTCTTGAGGATTCAGGTGGAGTTGCTTCTTTTTCTTTTGACTCATTCAAAAGGTCACTAGATGAACATATATTTTTACTTTTTGACCAAATATATAATTCTTTTTAAAAAAAAGATTTTTTTTCAATTTCCCATGAACCCTTTTGACCAACTATTTTCTTTTTTTTAAATATTTCTGACACAAAAAAGGACTCAAGGATATTCTCGCTGAACAACTTGAGTGAAGTATATCGGAGGTGCAGTTCAGGGGTTTGACTCACCTCTCGGCCTTTGTGTGTGACCAGCGCGGCGAGCGGCTTGGCATAGAAGCGGCTGTAGCTGAATCCCAGGCAGCCGTACATACTGTTGGCAGTCAGCTTCAGCGCCTTCTGACGAATGTCATACTGAAGGACAGACAGCCTCAAATAAAGAGCAAGTGGAGCTTGGGTTACCTTTACGTGTGTGTGTGTGTGTGTGTGTGTGTACCTGCAGGTAGAGGTCTGTGTTGATGTCGTGCTGCTTCATCAGCTGTTTGACCTGTTTTCGCCGCTCGACCAGCTTCCTGATTTCTTTGGGCAGGATTCCCATCTCCAGGTTTGTATCTGGAATTTCGGGAATCTCCTCCAAGCCGTCCTCCTGTTACCATGGAGACAAGAGATGAAAGTGAGCCGGGAAGTTTTCTCTGGTGGGGACGATGTCGTGATCGATCGATCTATGAAACATGTCTGCTAATGCAAATAGTTTTAGATGATTTATTTATGAACGCAAGGTTACAATAAACCTGTAAATACACACACACACACACACACCTCTTTCTTCTTCTGCGTGCTTTGAGCCTCCCTCTGGACAGTGGTGAAGCAGATGTTGAACTCCTGGATGATTGATGGATACAGGCTGTTGAAGTCGAGCAGCAGCACAAACTTGTCGTAGAAACCTGTGGGGGAGGTGGGGGAGGGGAGAGAGAGAGAGAGAGATAAAGGGAGCTCACAGAACACGAAACATGACAGTAGACCCGGAGCACGCACTCACCGACTTTAGGATCCAGCACCAGACCTCCAGCGTAGGCCGCCTTCTTCTTCCGCTTGCCTGTCCCTGCATCCACCTCGTCTTCGCCCTCGACCTGCGACAGAGTGAGGAAGAAAGGGGAAAAAAATGAGAGGGTGACACGTGTGTCGTGCAGTCCTTTGGTTAAAGAAGACGCCTCGCGCGGCTTTACCGTTTCCAGCTGGGTCTTTTTGAAGGAGGGCTTGTCGGGGACGATGTAGTCTTTGTCGTGGAAGGCGTGGAGCAACAGGAACTCGTTCCTCTCGGCGCGGCCGCCCATCAGCGTGCGAGACTGCGGAGGCGGCGCAAGAAGAAGTGAGGTCCAACCGAACAACTGAAGCTTAAAATGCCATTTCCCCCCCCCTGTCGATGTAGTGTGAACAGACTAGCTGATCATTCAGCGCTGGCTCTAAACTATGAAGCTTTTTTTACAGGAAAAGCAAGACTGTGCAGCTGTGCATTCAGGTCGATGATGGTCCATGACTGCTTTTCTGTAATGTGTTTTTAAGTTATATCAGTAGAGAGCGATTTTTTTAAGAACAACAGTTACTTGGATGTTGGCCTCATGAAAATTGAGCGTATGAGTGATTGGAGTTTTAATCGTAATTTGAGTTTCTCTATTTGAGCTCGGTAAGTTAATTTTTTTGGAACGTTTTATGTTTGTTTGTTGTGTTTCTGCAGCCGTGAGTTTACAGTTCAATGAAGCTAAAGAACAAAAGTGTTACCATGACGTTGCCAGCGATGTTGGTGATCTGCAGGGCCAGCGGCAGCACGTTGAGCTCACACATCATCTGGAGGATCAGCTTGGCGTCCGTCCACGTCAACTCCAGCAGGTACAGCAGGTGAGGAGAGTCGCTGACACACACACACACACACACACATTTTAGGACCCACGTCTTTTGGGGGAAACAACTCCAACTTGTCTTTACTTTCCGATTCAAGGCCGTACAAACCTGTAGAGATTCTTGATGTTCTCCTGAGGGACTGTGGCTCGCTCCGTCTTCAACACCCGACTGGCCAGTTCAGTCAGACTGTAACTTTTACAGCGAATCAGCTCCTTGGCGGAGATCTCCACGTCGCACACCAGGCGGCCGCAGGTCGCGCTCTTCTCTGCAAAGGATCCGCGACCCTACCGCATAAAACAGTGCATGGTGATGTTCAATGTGGAATAGAAATTTTATAAAAATTTGTATTTTTTGTTGTAGTTTTTCTTCTTCTTCTTACCCCCAGTTTGGGCATTGTGGCCCTTCTGAGGCGACCGATCTTAGACCAGTGGGGAACCTTGCACACGCTGATCCTCTTCAGAATCACCTCCAGGTCAAAACCAAAGATGTCGTGACCCTGCAGCAGAGGAGCGAGAATGAGCACAATCCTTTGCACCGCGACAAAGCACTGCGCCTCCGTTTGAACTTGAATGGGATGATGGCACGGGAACATCTTCTACTCACCACCAGCACGTCGGGGTCGATTTTGTGCATCTTGGCCAGGAAGAAGCCGAGCAGAGTGCGCTCTGTCGAAGCAATCTCCACTTTACCGTTCTGACGGAGGAGAGACAAATACAACGAGACTCAACCAGCGTTCTGGAAAGTACTGCGGAAAATGCTCTAATCGCACTGCCACATAGAAAAAAACGATAATAAATCATTGGTTGCCCTTTGCGAGCAAATGTCATTATCCTAAAAACACGTGAACCAACAGTCTTTCTGCAAATTAAAAACGCAAGGTTTTCCTGTTTCTAGTTCCAAGCTGAGCTCCGCAGCCTTGTGACCACTCACCCTCTTCCTCACGGCCTCTTTGAAGTCGTAGGGGAAGATGCAGTCCGCCGGTTTACTGACCACTGTAAAGACAAAAGAGAATGGAATAAAAAGTTCTCCGATTTCTACTCATCTGTTGAGTCTAAATAACTTACCACAAAAGTGGGTTTGGAACTGAGGTCGCGGCGGCGCTTTGTCCATGTGGAACTCGTGGTGTACGAGTGCAGCCAGGGACACGATCTGCAGTGGAGCAATTTCATCATCAGCTCCTCGCTCACTCAGGGTCTCAGTTAGTGAGAATAACACTGCTAAATGATCCTAAATCCTCCAAATGATGCTGACCTCGTTGTGGTGCGTCTTTGGGTTCTGGATGGTCTTGAGGCTGATGGACATGACGGTAATCGGCGGAGGGGGCAGGTCTCTGACCACAGTGACCAGGTCAGTCCTCAGGGCGAGAGCCTCTACTTTACTCCAGCTGACCGGCTGGCTGATCAGCTCTGCCACAGACAAATCTCGTAAAAATCCAAATAAGAGTTGAACTGAACGAAAGGTGTTGAATCGGTTATTGGCGAATAATCCTTACGGGGCGCCTTGATGTCCAGCCAGCAAGGCCCTTTAATCTTCCTGCTGAGGAGGAAGTGCTCCAGACTGGAAGTGTTGGTTCCAAAGATGTGGGAAAAGGCTGCCCCCTTAAGGCCAGGAGGGAGGGCAGGGAAGTCCGCCTGCACAAGATTAACCCCATTAACAAATAGGTAATGAAACAAAAATCATGCACGCCTTGACCACTTCGACGTAACATCTGGAGAGGTGTGCACCTGCACTCACAGAATATCTGATTTCCAGGTACTCGGACTGAGTGGGCACATCTGGAATTTCAAAAGCGTAGCTTTTCTCCACTTTCTGCAGAGGGTAAAAAAAAAAAAAAGCAGCGGTAAAAAACGGGACAAACTCGCCAGATTGCAGAAGATTGCATCAACGCAGTGGAGTCCGACCCACCTTGGACTTGAACTTCATGATTCTGAACTTCTCGGAGAGTTCGTTAAACTCCTGGTAGACGTCTATCATTTCGACGGGGGAGTCTGTCACCTCCCCGCTCTTGGTGTTCACTTTCTGTTCATGGAAACAGCAAAGCAACTTTTAAAAAAAAAACAAAGGTTTGGTCTTAAGACCAAATAGCTTGTGTTAAAGGGTATAATTCATCGCCCTAAAAAAATTTATTAAAGAAGGTGAAGAATTCCCCAGCGAGCAGAAACCGTACGTATTCGCGAGGCAGGAGGTACAAGGTCCGCTCGATGTTCTTGACGGTGACACAGCAGCTGACATGAGATGTCGCAGACTCGATCCACACCTTCCCAAACAAGTACACCACACCTGGCGAAGTGGAGATATCAGGATGTGCATTACAAATCTCAACGGGACGTTCGGATGTAGGAATAACAGCGTGAACGTTACAGCAGTCACTATAAATATATATATATATATATATATATATATATATTCACTGAAGGTAAAGAATATGCCTCACCGGGTTGGCTGTAGGGGTCTTCGAAGGCATCCAACCAGTAGAAGCGAAACACCTTCTCCCCGTCTGCTTGCTCCACCAGCGGGAGTTGGCTGGAGTCGACCTGTATCTCTGCCGGAGCCTCGTCGACTCCACCGTCCTCCTCCTGTCCCCACGCGCTCCCGAGCCTACCGGACCTGGACGGGGAAAGAAAGACACTTGTAAACTAAGCACATCTAATGTATGTAGAGCAATTGATGAGGCACGAAACAACATAAGTAAAAAGGCCATAAAGAGAATAAGACTCACAATAATACCGGGTCCTGAGGCTCCGCTTTGGGCTCCACTTTAACTGCAGTTTCTTTCACTGAAGGCTCTGCGTCATCTTTAAGTTCAGGCGTCTCCTCCTCCAGCCCGACCTCCATCGGCTCATCGAAGTCCACCCCGTCAAACGCCAGAGAGTCGCCAACTGAGAGAACACATTTTCACAAAAAGCGAGTTCACGCTTGTTGCTCGAGGCAAGAAAAGGCGAGCAGAGTTGTATCCGTGTTTTCTGACCTCTCTCTTCATCCATCTCCTCCACGTTTGCCGTCTGCTTCTCTACAGGTGGAGCAGCTGCGGGGGCGGGGAGGCGGGCTGATGACGTGGCCGTCGGGTCAGAAGGTGGGGGTCGGATAACTTTGGCCTTGAACCCCGAGGCAGAGGGCGACTCCTGGTATCGAAAGAAGTGCCATGCAACACTTTAAAACGAATGAATTGAAACTGCACAATTAGACCAGTGAAGTCGTTCACAGACGCCTCTGACGATTTAAAAGTTTAAGGGATACCTTTGGCATCTGAGGCTTGATCGAAAACGGGTTCATGGGCGCACCGAGAGACTTCTTTTTCCTGAGAGTGAGCACTGGCGGTGGAGACAGAAGACTCGGTTTCTGGGAAGACCGAGGCAAGAGATTATCAAAAGCCCATCAGAGGTTGGGGGGGGGACATTGACGACGTGGAGATGGTGGCTGATGAATCAATTTGCTATCCCCCTGTATCAACAGAGGGTGTATACCTCAGAGTGCAGGTCCTGCAAGATGTCCCCTAAAAGGTCATCTTTGGACAGGTCCACGTCTTTCTGTAACGGATAAGATTGTGCATATGGTCAATGCAGGAACAGTGTAGAACATCTCTTACGTACTATATTACGTTTACTATAAGGCGCACTTAAAAACCTTTAATTTTCTCTAAAAAACGACAGTGCGTCTTACAATCTGGAGCGCCTTATATATGGATCAATTGGTTGATCCACACTGGTTGTACACGGCGCTCAAGGCGCTCTGTCAAAATGTTTCAGTATAAAAAAATCTTCTTGCGCGAGCTGTCACGCGTTGTACACAATGCAACTAGGGGAGGCGGCCAGGTGCTCAGTGTTGCCAGGTTGGAAATGTTCACCATTTCCAGCAACACTGAGCACCTATCGTACCAAAGGCTCAAAATGGTCGTATTTGGAGGATAATTATTGTGTATCTGGCAACATTGAGATCGGTCGACCATTGACTGTTCTCTCTACAGTCAGCGCTCGCGCAAGAAGCTGGAACGTAATGGAGACACCATTTACAACACTCAAGGGTGGAATAACTAGTTTGTGAAATACCCAGAGAAACACAAATATCCGACGAAGCAAAATCCCGAACGTTTTTAGAATCCCTGCTGGACGCATTTTTTAGTTGTCAAAAAGAGGACATGTCCGGGGAAAAGAGGACGTCTGGTCTCCCTAACATAACGCAAACCCAGGTAAAACGTTTGATTGCAGTATTTCATGCGTCTTATAATCCGGTGCGCCCTATGTATGAAAAATGTTTTAAAATAGGTCATTCATTGAAGGTGCGCCTTTTAATCCGGTGCGCCGTTTAGTGCGGAAAATACGGTAAATTACAAATCCGCACTGAGCACAGCAGCGGCAACGGCCGCAGAAACGCACCTCGGCCGGCCTCTTGACATTACTGTTCATGAAGAGGCTCTTGATGGTGTTGGGCTTGGCTACAGCAGACTTCTTCATATTTTTCTTTGAGTCTGCTCCTTTAGCACCTTTTCCTGCAAAACACATGGGAATAAAATCACACACAAAGAAGGCATTTCCTCTTTACTGTACACCCCCCCACACCACACACACACACACACGATACACATACATTGTTACAATGCAACAACGTTACCTTTTTTGCTTTCAACTACATCATCGTCCAAATCATCGTCAAAGATTTCTCTTCCGTCCTCCACGTATCCAGTTCCATCTGGGGGAAGAGAAAAGAAGAGAGGCACAGTGAAACTTTGTCGTTAGAACTCACCGCCGCCCGTATTGCCACAGCGGACGCAGCCGGAGACTCGGACTCACCATCGTCAATGATCCAGTCGTCATCTTGTCTGTCTCGTACCATCTTCGAGTACTGCTGCTCGTCCACTTCCTCATACACACTAGTAAACTCTTCCACCTGGAAAAAGGAAAAGCGGGGTTGACCATTAACTATGTAACAAGGACGGCTGAATTAAACATATAGTAAAAACATTAAGATTAATGGTTATTGGTATAATTTCATCTGGTGTTTACTCTTTCAATCAAGCTACAATTTGATCTGTAACAATTCCCAAGATAGAGATTGAGTTGATAAGTGATGACACAGTGGTTGTCCAACATCCACAGGTGTAACAATAATAACAACAACAACTTCACCTCGTATTTGATCTTCTCCCCCAGCTTGGCTTTCTTAAGCTGCTCCAGTGCGGACTTCCTTCCCACCTTCTCTCGCTTCTCCCGTTTAGAGCGAGACCTCGCCAGGCCGCAGAGATCCCCTCCATCGGCTGAGGAGGGGGGGAGACACAACGACATGGCGACCCAGAAGCAGGTATCAACACCACCGTCTGATATGCACATTTTTATGCCCGCCACACACCCTCGATGTGAGGTTTACATGGAGCCGTTGGTCTGACTTAACGTTAAAAACACACCAACACCTAATGGCAATGTGGTTAACGTCGGTCTTAGGACTCGTTCGTGACTAAAACTCACACAACAGCGCGCTAAAGTTAACGTTAGCGAACATTACCCGAGTCTATTAACCGGTCTTAAGAATGGAAAACGGTTTAAGCGGCTGGCTACTGCGTTTGATACCGACAGTATCTGTGGGCTCAGCGGGTCGCTTGTTGTAAAATGACAGTGCGAGCTAGCTAACACGTTAGCTAACATCTTTGCTTTGGCGACACGAAAGTCGAACTCACCGCCGTCCGGTCCGTCCGCGTCTTTCTCTGGGTTTGATACCGGAGCCATGACTTACACTTTTCACCGTTTACCGTTTGCCTCAGTGACAGCTGCTCAACACGACGGCCGCAAGTCAACACAACAACAGGAGAGTCCGCGCCAAGTCGGGTTCCCGGGGAAAGTCGTACGCAGGAAGTGACGTCACGTTCGCTGTCAGCCAATAAAATGGGGCGCTGTGTCCGCTGTGTCCGCGCGGTGGCCGTGTCTGTCCAACTTTAGGATTTTGCTCCACAGGATTTGGACCACGGAAGGTACAGTAGTTATTTTTTCTTCAATTAAGAAGAAATCCCCAGGCCACTTTAATTTAAAAGCCAAATGAAAACACGTTCAACAAAACTTTTCCTTACAAATTAATACTTACAAATACCAAATTAATACTTACAAATACCTGTGAACCCAATAGACCGCACACATGCCAAAGCCTGTTTGCTATTTTGCATGCATTTTACAGGCAACAACATAACACCCGTGTCCTCAAATTGTAGGATTACACCACTAGTCTCCCGCTATTTGTAAATCAATAGCCATGTGTAGCCCAATGAAGCTCGTTTCCATGGCGACCGGGCGGGACTTTATAGGGCACAATGGGTTCCTGTCCCAGATTGGGGCCACAGAGACAGAGTGCGTCCGGCAATGAAAACACAAAGCCTGTTTTGTCCTTCATCCCCACAGCCGGATTTACACTAGCCTACAGTATGCTGGCTTTACCGCCACTTTGGCGACTCCAACTGACAAGGACTGTATGTGTTTAGTACATTATGAACTGTCGAGGTGAGGGTTAATGTCTTCTTGCAATTAACGTTGCCATTAATTATTTGGCTTTGACCACGTTTTATACTCTTTCTGTTTCACTCTTCGTAAAATATAACTGACTTTTTAAAAAAGAGGCGGCGTTTCGTGTGATGGCCCGTTTTGTCTGCTAAACGGACCGTGGCCCATATTGTCGCAGCTCATCAGCGGCGAGCAGCTGATCGGTCCTGTAGGACAGACTGGGACAGACGTCCCTCAGCTGCAGAAGGCAGACGGACAAATAGATATAACATACTTCAGACACAACTGGTGAACACCATGGTGAAACAGCGACGCGCCAGCGCGCATTCCTGTTGCGCAGCTGTTGCGCCTCTTCGTTGCAGCAGAGGACCGTTGAAGGTGAGGACGCATGAAAGTTTCGGCTTTTTGACCAATTAGTTACTCCGGTCCAGCCGCCAACGGCGAAGGGGGTGTTTCCCCCAGCAGGCTGCCGTATGGTGGGGAGAGGGAAAGCAAACGCGCGTGAGTGAGTGTAGTCTGAAGCTGCTAATAAGAAACCCTGATTTAATATTTACAGGTGGCAAATAAATGTCCTGTGTGTTTGGGCTGCGCATGCAGATGGGTGTGGCTGTGATGAGTGAAACGGGCTCCATTCATCTCGATCCAGCGGAAGATAATCAACAGACCACCACTGACATTATGATGTTACTAATTTGTCTTACAATAATACTTTCCCCTACATTTGGAAGATATGCCTTATGGGAGAAAAGCATTGATTGGCATTTACTTTTTAGTGTCTTGGAGACACAGTGACGGTAATAAATAAATAGTGATGCTAGGATCGTCTTACCGATGGCGCTATGGACCACTCAGCCAATCCCCTCTGCTTATACTGGCAGACTGCTGCATCTTTCTCCTGATTGGTCCTTTCTTTGAACTCTGTCTTCTTTTCCCGTCGCCATGGCGAGAGCCCTTCGCCTCCGCGTACGAAGATCGTTTATCAAAACGATGACTCACTCCGACAATATAATTATGTTCAGATAAACACAATATATATTATATATAATATAATATATTATATATAATATAATATATTGTATATATATATATATAATATATATGTATATATTATAACTGATTTGGATTGATTTCGAATTTGTCACTTCGACGTAACAATCCAAAGCATTGATATATTAACACCAAGGTCGCTCTAGCTCTTGTTTCTACACAGCCATCAGTGTGAAATAACATTTCCCCCCTATAGGTTCGGTGAGAGCAGAGCCCGTGTCCCTTTTGCCGGTACCAAGAAGTAGCTCCAGAGTGAGACCTCTTCGCTGCCTCCACCCTCTCTGCAGCAGGGGATCAGAGGGGTGGAGGAGGAGGAGGATGAGGGGAGGGCAGGGGAGGACAGACAGAGAGGCGGAGCAGGCAGTGGGCGGGGGAAAAGAGGAAGGAGAAAGAGACAAGTGGCGAGGAGAGAGGCAGCCTCTCACTGATGCTGAGTCACATTACAGAGGGACCACAGACGCATCCCATGAGTCTTTGGGAACCATGGAGGAGCTTGAGCACACCTGCCCCCACCCCAGGACGGTAGGGCATTTGATTGTGTGCGTTTTCCTACCGTGTTAGGGTCTTGCGGTGTGTGTGTGTGTGTGTGTGTGTGTGTGTGTGTGTGTGTGTGCTTCACAGGAAGGGGGAGGAAGACAAAGTGTCCTTCTGCCTCCCCTGTTACGAAACAGACCCCCCCCCGTATAGCATCCGAGGCTGAGAATGCTGAGTGGACAGTGTGTGATCAAAGAAGGAGGGCGTGGGGGAGGGTTGGGGGGGGGTTACACAATGGGAAAATAAATAGCTTGAATGACCTGCTGGGGGGACAATGCGGCAGTAAGGGGAGCGCCTCTTGTGGCTGGCTACCCTCGTCTTCGCTGGTGTATTTCCTCATCCTGCCCCCATCCGCGTTCGTGTCCTCCAAACGCCCCCCCCCCCCCCTGCCCGCCACCCCCTCGCTCCACTTGCTCTCCTCTGTCCTCGCCCCAACCTCTCTCTGTTCTTGTGAAGGTTCCTTACTGCCGGTGCTTTCTCTCGCCCCGTGGTTCTGCTTTTTTCTCTCCCTCTCTTACGCTGCTTTAATCCTTATCCTATGCCAGATGTTCTTTGCTCTCGCCAGCGAGAGAGAGCTTTTCTGTGCACGCTCCTCCCCCCCCCGGTCAGCTGGTTTAAGCTTTACCATCAGTTATCACAGTGGCACCACGGGAGATGAGGCTGCTCCCTGTACACAACCTCGCTGCCGCTCCTTCTTCATTGTTGTTGTAGCTCAGATGGATATTATTGACTTCTGGTACCTGAACAAAATGTTTTTAAAGGGCATTGGACATAGATATCAAAAGAAGGAGTCCCGCACGGCATTGTTGAATATGCGCATCTCCTTTGTTTTTATCGTGTGCATGTAAGCCCCTGCTTGCCTCTGCGTGGCCTGCTTTCATGTATTCTGTTAGTTGCACGCATGATTTCTGCCCAATACATATGATGAATTGAAAGTGAAATGTAGCAATTTGTGAATCACTGCACACCGTAGATGACTTAAAAACACATAATGTCAATACAAAAAAATGAGCATTAGGCAACGTTATTTAACCCAAAAGGGAAATTGTTTTTCTGTCTGATATGGATTTCATGTCCTCATTCTGTTTGCCAAAAAGTAGTTCATACAAGCAACAGTAAAAGGTTATCCTTGGACTCATGAACAATCACATACAGGAGTAAATCCTCTGTATTTAACTTTAGTTTTGTAGCTTTTGTCATTTTCTGCAATGAACCTCTGCAAAATGTTGTTGCTTCCAAATCATTTTTACAAGCAATTCTTAAAGAATTTGGAAAATCTGTGCAGAGTATCAAAGTAATAGAAGAATTCAAGGTATGCTTGGACCAGATGAGGTTATAACAGCCCAAAGATGTCTGTTTGCTTGTTATTAATCCTGGCCCGTTAATAATTCATAACCTGCACGATAGCTTGTGTTGTGGAATTTCACCAGTGGCGGTGGAAAGGTCTCAGCGTGGCATTATGTCAAGAATAACCTGTGATAACGGTCACAACAACTGAGAAGAATGTCTGGCTCTTATTTGAAAACCCTTCACTTTCTGCTGCAAATTCACCCGAGGGAGGTCTCTCTCTCAATCCCCACACTGTCATTTGATCATCGTCATCGTCGGTTTTGATGAGCGACCCTCCCGTCTGTGTCCATGGAACATGCCGTCATGCCAGACTCACCTTTTTTTTTCTTTTCTGTTCAGGGATATGTTGACGTCAGTTTCCTGCGTTTTCCTGCACAGGGGAAGTGCACAGTGCTTCCATTTCTTTCTTCCTCTGCTCTGTGCAGACTCTGATTATGATTTATTGGCGTGAATGATATTCAGTAAATATCCCCTGTAGTCAACAGATGGCACACAAAGACACATTTTGAGGCAGACTCGCACACACTTTAACCTCGATGTAGCTGTGACAAATAATCTCCACCATCCATATTTGTCCTTTATTGCTCCGTTTGCCTTTGTCCCCCCCGCATCCCTTTGTCTTTTATTCTTGCTTTTCCTGCTGAATTTGAAATGTATTTCATTTCTGAAAACGTTAGTTTTCTCCCTGTTCACTGAAAGTCTCCTGCTTCTCCCGTCTTATTCTTACCTTTTGCGTCTTAGCTTATTCCTGAGAGGTCTTTCTGCAGCAGACCAATCCCCTGCCCTGGTTTTCTGCCACATGTTGACACACACGTACAGAAGGGAACGTCTGCACGCACACAGGCACACACACGGTGGTCAATAGCACTGAGTGCATGGCCGTCTGTCTCTAAATCCATTGTCCTAACACGGAGCAGGCATCAGCTGCGGTCAATACCTTAATGTAGGTCACTGTCACAGGCATGCGCTTGTAGATGCAGCGGCGCTGTGTATCTGAAAGGGTTGTCTTCATGCGGGAGAGGGGAGGGAGAGGGGGTGGGGGGTTTCGATTGACATCTGTCTCCTACGTCCACCCGTCCTCCAAAAACAAGACGTTTGCGCCTAAACTCTTCTCTCTCTCCTCCTCTCGGCCTCAGACTCTGACCAAGCCCGCCATCTTTGCCAGGGAGACCAGTTGCGATTGCCGCGCCCCTCACGAGAAGCTCAGCATCGCTCAGGCCCGCAGAGGCACCCCAGGTACGGGCCTCCGCCTCAGCTCCACCTCCCTTCCTCCAGTTTGTCACGTTTCTCCTCATCACATTCATTTCTCTAACCCTTTTTAGCATTTACACCACTACTGTTTTTGCTACGTTTTCTGCTATGATCACCCAAAATACTTCAACCATTGATATATTTTACCCGCGGTGCTGAAGTTATGCTACTTTTTGTAATATCATTCTGTTGGACAGCTAGTTGTGCTGTTGGTACGCCCACAGCATCACCGACACAACCTCTCAGTGTGATTCAGTGGCTGTTTCAGCACTCAGACATCGTTCTATTCTCACGCATACTACTGCAGCAGGTTTGCATAAATGCTGTCGTTGTACGTTTGCAGTGGACCGACCGGTCAGAGTCTACGCAGACGGCATCTTTGACCTGTTCCACTCCGGACACGCTCGTGCTCTCATGCAGGCCAAGAACCTCTTTCCCAACACCTACCTTATAGTTGGAGGTAGACCACACACACCAACACACACACACACGCACACAATGTACAAATCCACTGCTCCAAACTGACTTTGAACTACGTGCCCCCCCCCTACCCTCTCCCCTCCCACAGTGTGCAGCGATGAGCTGACCCATAAGTACAAGGGCTTCACAGTGATGACGGAGGTCGAACGTTACGAAGCGCTGAGACACTGCCGCTACGTCGACGAGGTCCTGAGGGACGCGCCCTGGACTCTCACACCGGATTTCCTAGAGAAACACAAGGTGTGCCCATGTGGTCCTTTGCAGGTTTCTGAGGGAGGAACATGGTGCACGAAGCATCCAGGGGCCGCGATCACATCCTAAAGCCCCGATAGCTCCAAACTGGGTTTTGAAGGAGGGGGGGCACCTGCACTATAAAGGACCACCAGGAGTCGTTTTTAAAACATTCGAAGCAGAGATGTTAGAGGCAGTCCATGAGTCACCTGATCACCATGACTTTTGTAGGAAAAAAGACCAATAATGATGAACTTTTAAAGCGTATTTCAGACGCAAGTGAGTTCCAAGGAATCAAATCAGCTCCCCAACAAATGAAAAAAAAAACATTGGAAAAAGGCGCCTTTTCCGTGCATATAAATGATCTTCCTTGTGTGTAAGAATTAGTCCTCAAACCCAAAAAACAATAAAAATCGAAAGTCGATTTCATAGCGATTGGCACATTGACTAAATGTAGAATCACTTTAAAAAGTCACACTTGCTAGATTTCAGCTGTGAACCTTGGATGGAAAACATCTTTAAAAATGTATATTTTTTCATACAGTCATGTCCTTTGATCGCTCCTCAGATCGATTTTGTGGCTCACGATGACATCCCCTACTCCTCAGCGGGAAGCGAGGACGTATACAAACACATCAAGGAGGCAGGTCAGTGTGTGATAAAAGGACGATGAATACAAATACACATCTGGCGGTTTTCAAATTCTCTTTGTGTTTTGTTTTTTTTCCCACGCGCACTCTCCAGGGATGTTCGTGCCGACGCAACGGACAGAAGGGATCTCGACTTCTGAATTGATCACCCGAATTGTCAGAGACTACGACGTCTACGCGCGACGCAACCTCCAACGCGGCTACACGGCCAAGGAGCTCAACGTCAGCTACATCAACGTAAGTCGATATATTGCTTACAATGGAAAAACGTCTCCAGGGACGTCATCATTGACAGCGGCTCGATGGCTCTTTTTTCTCCCCCCACGTCGTCCCCCTTAGGAGAAGAAGTACCGGCTGCAGAACCAAGTGGACCGAATGAAGGAGAAGGTTCGCACGGTGGAGGAGAAGAGCAAACATTTTGTGTACCGCGTGGAGGAGAAGAGCCACGACCTCATCCAGAAGTGGGAAGAGAAATCCAGAGAGTTCATCGGCAACTTCCTGGAACTCTTTGGGCCGGACGGGACTTGGGTAAGTAACTCTTTGACGGCCGTCACCTCCATTGCAACCGTCGTCAGATCGATCGATAGCGCGTGATATCGAAAAACAGGCGTTTTGGTGTTTGACACTATGGATGTCCTCTCTCTGCCCCCCCCCCCTCCGTCCCTGAGCAGAAACAGGTGTTTCAGGAGCGCAGTGGACGAATGCTGTCCTACGCCATGTCTCCCCGAGGGTCTCCCTGCAACAGTCCTCCCCGGGAACTGTCCCCCCTGCGCTCCCCATCGCCCCCGTCCCCGTCCCCGTCCCCCCCCGCCCGCTGGCACAACGCGCGGCCCTCGCCCCCGGCCTCCCCCAAGGGGGCGTCGGCCTCCATGAGCAGCATGAGTGAAGGCGACGAAGATGAGAAGTAGATGGATTGTTACACACGTGTACACGCACACTCTCACACACACAAACACACACAACACAAACACCGGCTGGATACTGAAACATGGGGTGAGGCTGCAGAGGCAAGAAGCCATCGCAGTGTCAGTCGCGCCTGCGAGAACCAAGCAGACGGACCACAGAGGAAAAGGGAAGAGGAGGATTTACGAACACTGTGTCACAATTCGTAAAATAACAACAAAAATGCCCAGAATGCTTTGCAGCGTTGTTCAGAGGATTTGCGTCGGATTTTTCCAGTGCTGATAAGAGACTGTCCAACAGCCTGATCATAATATCACCTCATTGTTTTCTGTCCTTTCCTGTTTAGCTTAGCATTTTTTTTTAAGATGCAAATATTTCTTGTAACTCCTGTGAGCGTCAGACGTGAACAGGAACCAAGTCACAGAACGTCGTGTGCGATGTTCAGCTGAAAAGCTCACGCGAATTGACAGGAACTGGAGTCATTCTTCACCGAGTCATTTTTCGCTTGTTGAACAAAGAATTGTGAATTAAACAAATCACACCGAGCACAGTAGATGAGAGGGAGTTAAGTTGGAAAACCTCTTGGGACTAAAACACATTAGTTTGCATCGTTGTGGCATAAATGGTTGGTACCGGTATTTGAAATAAGTGATCCCCGATCATTGAGTCACCACTAACACAGTTTAAAACAAATTCCTCAGAAAATCACATGGAATTCAAGTTAGCCTGTGGGATTAGCAGCCTGAATGATCCTTAAATGTGTCCTATGTGACTACAGCTGTGGAGAAAGAAGTGAAAGACGTTGGGGAGGAGGTGAGGGGGGGGGTTCATCACCCCGGTTGAACAGCTTTGTTAGAAATCAAGCAATATTATCTTAGTTGTAGAGTTCATATGAAACAAATACATTTTTTAAATAAATATGGAAAAGGTCTGTCATAGCATTGGACCCTAAAACAAGCCCCCTCAGTCTTGGACTGCGCATATTGATTGTGATGAGACAGAAAAAACAGCCTTTTATTAGCTTATTGAATGTAAAGTGAGTCGCTGAGACCACGCCTACAGTTAAGAGTCAATCAGTATAAGTTCAAGCCACATTATGACGTACGACACACACAAATCCTTCGTTTAGGCCACATGCATTACATGTCTGGCAGCAATCCATTGGTAGAAACATTAGTGGATTTTAAGCAGAAGAAGCCATGTAATTTTTGAGTTATTCACGTTTTATCCAACCGACCTCTAGCAAACATTCTTGCTCTTTGGAATTTGATGTCAGCTGTCAATCAAACCCATGAATTCAGATGCAGCCTTTCTCGAACACTCCGGTGACACTTGAAATAAACAATTGAAGCCCTCCGGGTGAACTGTCAGCGTGGATCATCAGCCTAATGTTTAATTTGATGTTATTGGAAATGTACGTGATAACCTTTTTTTTTTTTGCTCAGGTCTGCTCACTCCCACCTAGAAAAACACAATTAATACCCTAATGCAATGTAGAGATCTAAATGTCCTGTACGCACTACATGTTAATCTGCACTATATGTACAAACTTTGGGAAAGTGTGTATTTTTTATTTTTTAAATTTCGATGTTCAAACGGCTTGATATGTAAATAAAGTCTAAAACCGAACGCGAGTCAGACTGCATTTCGCACACAACCGGCGTTTTCTTTATTGTCGGGTTGATCTCATGCTGAATCACAATCATTATTAGACTGCTCTCTCACTTTTTGGGTTTCACACACACACACACACACACACACACACACACACACACACATCATATATATTATATGCTTTAACTGCACCTGTGTGATCATACATGTGTTTAAGCTGGAGGTAAAGTAGGATAGAAAACAGCTTCATGTACAATAAACACACACAGTTGTATTTTCTAACGTATACCCGAAGAACAGAGACTCTTAACAGCAAAAGTTGACGACTGTAAAAATCACAGAACTGGAATTGAAAGTTGATTTTTGATGGATGTTAGTTGCGATTCGAGGCGGATTTGAACTTAATGAGAGAAGTCGCGTTGGTCTCTAGTTTTTTTTTTTCCCAGGGAGACCGGCAGGTTTACGGAGGCTTTGGCACCGAGGAGGATGAAAGCGGCGAACGCTACGTTTTCCACACCGTATGCTTCACCTACGCCCCTTCTTTTCACATCAGACGGAGCTAAAAGAAGACGAGAGAAGGAGGTCACTTCAGATTAGTTAAATTCTAGACAAATGGGCACGTTTCTTACAGGCGCGGTATTTTCCAGTAAGGTGTTGCCATTACGAAGGTTTAGCTAGTGCAAAGCCCTTGTAAAAAAAAAAAAAAAAAAAGACGCTTGAAGGAGGTTTGGAATGAAGGTAACTGACGGAAATATACATGTGGAGCTTTGGTAGTAATAAATGCACTAAAATGTTCCCGAATATGATTAATGTTAAAATAAAATCAGATGGTTTGACGCACTGCGTCCGTACGAAGAGATAAGTGGCTCTTTTAGCCACATGGAAAATCTGGCTGCTGCTGGCTTTTCTCAACAAAGGTTGATTTCCCTTTGTTTATATTAAGGATATACAGTGATCTTTTCACAGACTTTTAGCGATAATTACAGCTAAATTATTTAAAAGATCATCTAAAAGTCATGCTGTTACGATTTTAGAGATACAAAGAAAACAAAAAGTTGTTCCTTAACATATTAGTTATATCTTTTGAAATAGACGCGCTTTGATCAAACTCTGGACACTGTATAGATTAGTAAAGCTACAACCGACACCAAGCTAATGGACGGAGCAGGTTTGGGGGAAAAAGCTTTGAGCGGGTTGCGTATCCACCCTGGAAAAAACGATTGCAGGTGTTAGAAGAGGGATGCAGCGACGCCTTCACACGTCAACAGTCCTCGTCAGACGGGACAGGTCCATTCTTCTGTGTGAGGGTTCCCACAATGCATCGTGCTGGTGTGGTTGAAACGGGCTCCAGGTGGTCCTTTAGTAGTTGTTGAACGGTCTGGTGATGGTCAGTGTTGACGGTTACTTTGCGTACGTGAGCTTTCGGTTTACTGCTGTGAATGAGGTGGCAATATATAGTTTATCAAGTATATTTGAAAAAAAAAAAAAAAAAAAAAAATTCTAAAACCGTTCCTATTATAAATAAACTATTAAGAGTTTCTCTCTTAAATATTTAAATAACATTTCCCGTATCGAGATATTTTAAATGATGCGCGGCTTTCTATATATTACAACAGGGTTCTCATTTTCTCTCATCTACAGGCAGCTTCAATACAAAATACTGCTTTACTTCGCCACACTGGCCGAATTGTGCGTTTAGAAAAGAAATGGAAATGAACAGTCCTCCTCTTCCAATTCTCTGTGAAACTCACGACCCCGCCCCTGACCCCCGCATGTGATCGAGAGACGCAATACGAGCCTTCGTCAACGGTGAGAAAGAAAGTGTTGCTCTCTCAGCCACAGGGAGCCCCGGCCAGAGGGAGATGCAATGGCTTTGGCTGGAGGGGGGGGGGGTCTGTTCCAAACACATTTCCAAAAGCTCTAACAACCAGAATGTAAAAAAAAAATAAAAAAAATGGAGTCAGATCCTTAACCAAACATTTACCCGAGGGCAACCGTTCAGAGAGCTGCGAGCATTCAGGCCGCCAGCAGAGGGCGAAGGCGCCGACGTCCGGGAGGGTTTATCGTTTGGCTTTGAAATTGGACTTGCTGGCGTCGCGGGGCTCCGTGCTGGGGTTGCTCCAGTCGTCCGCCTCGGGGGTGGTCGTGTAATGCCGCCACGCCGACTTGTTGAACACCGGCAGGCGCTCGAAGGACTCACTCGAAAGGGCCTTGGGAAACAAACAAAAACACAAAATGAGCCCATACGAAAATCACAGTCGTCTATCTTTCACTAAACGGTTGGATGTTTGAGATGATGCTTAACAAATAGGACAATTAGTTTTTTGTGTGCCACACACACACACACACACACACACACACACACACACACACACACACACACACACACACACACACACACACACACACACACACACACACACACACACACACACACACACACACACAGCTAGGGAAATGGTCTGGTTGAACCTTGGGATATTATATGGATTAATAGGCAGAGATAAAACATGTGAGGTAATAAGCTTTAGAGCGGCGGCTTGGTCGTTTCTGCCTCCCTTCTCATACAGACGAGTCATGTGCGTGGGAGGGAGAAAAAAACCCATTTAATCTTCACTTTACCTTGAGATAAATGACAGCATCAGTGCCAACGCCCTCCATGGAGTACAGTTTCAGGTCCCCTTGGAAGTAGCGCGCGTAGAGCCTCGAAATTGGCAAACCGTAGCCGAAACCAGCCTAGAGGAGAGAGAGAGGCAGGATTTAATTTCCCATGTGTCCCGACATAAATAAAAAAAATGAAAACACAGTCACCATGGTCAATACGGATTTGCTGCTGTGTGTGTACCAGTGGGACAGATCCCGGCTCCAGGCTCGGCGTAGGAGCAGTGGAGTACGTGTAGTTGAACAGTCGGTCGATCTTCCTGAGGGGAACTCCGCCTCCTCGGTCACTGATCTGAAGTCAGAACAACGCGGAGGTGGAGCGAGAGACTACAACTGTTTGGCCGATGGTTCACGTGCAAAGTCCTTGTGTCCAAGTTACCTTTATGGAAAGGTCCTCTTTGCCCAGAGTGACCTTTGCCTTTATTGGTGGTAAACCCTGTTCACTGTTCTCATGGAGCTCCACTGTGGCCCTCATCGAATTCTGCAAACACCCCGCAGAGTTTAAATCAACTCAGCCCACAAAAAAGCGCTTCGAAAGCCAGAGTCACAGTTTAACTGCGTTAGAGGAGCACTTAAATGTCTGGTCTCCTTCCACGGACGCCGCGCGGCTCACCTTGAAGAGTTCGAACAGCATGTGAAACAGATGAGACGGCACATACACCGCCTGGATGGGCCTCTTAGGGGCCTTCACTGCAGGACAACAATCACAGCTGGTTATTGTCAAATAACGAGAGGTTCCAGAGACTCTTCCCCCCACATGGACCCGACCCGGCAAAAGCCACGTGACAGAAACGAAGGAAATTACGAGAGCATTGGAATCTCTTACTGTTGAACTCCTCGATCTTCAGCTCGGGAGCATCTAAGTAGAATTTCTCACACAGCATCTTGGCGGTGTCGTAGGCATCTGACGGAGGAGCAGATCCCACCATCAACGTAAACGACACTTAAAACCCATCGGTAACAAAGGCACCCGAGGTGCACCTCGGAAACTGTTACTCGGACTTCCTGGAGGCGGAGACTCACCGCTGACGACCTCGGCCACGCTGCAGGCCGGGTCGATGCTGCCGAAGTGTTTCGGGTGGGCCGGGTTGGTGTCGTCCCCGAACAGGAGAGCTGCACAGAACCAGAAACAGGCCGGTCACGTCAATCAACGAGCAGCACGGGTGTGAACCGATTGGCACGTCGGGGCGGCGGCGAGGGTGATGGGGGGGCGGGGCTCACTGTGCTGGTTGATGAGCATGCGGAAAGAGATGCGGTTGGTGTAGAAGCGGTCGAGGAAGTACTGCACGTTGCTGCTGATGAACGGGTCGAAGCCGAACTTCTCCTTGTACTCGATGACCCCCTGAGCCATGGTGGGGACCACGTTGTTGTGGCGGTTGCGGATCTCGATCAGGAGCTCCAGGAAGCTGAAAGCACAAACGGGAATCACAAAAATCCACCGTTCCAGGATAAACGCCATTCAGATTTGAAATCTAGGGGCGGAGGGAGGGGGTTGCCAGGTTGACAGTGCCACCTTAATCCCATGTTTTCACATTGAACAATTCTCTAAAACGGTCCGCATTTTTCAAATTCCTTTTGGTTTAATCAGTCGTGTGTGACCGTCCTATCTCGCCGGCGTGGTTACAGTACAAATACCCTCCGTGTGCTGAAGGGATTAGCTGCAGTGGATCTCGAGACGTCAAGCCGGCGTGCAACAGCTGGGTGGATAAAAAAGCTGCACTCGTTAATTATTAGTCAAGGTAAGATTCTCTCACTCATTCAAAGCTTCGCAGTCCTCCGGCTTTCTGTTCTCGTAATCCAGCAGCTCCACGAAGCTCTGCATGTACCTAACAAAAGCAAACAACAGTTCAAAAGGGAAACTTTAACCACGGGCGTTGGCGATATCCCGCCGTCGCACCATAAACCATATCTTCATTCGCCGTCATAAAGCGCATCTCCCGTAGGAAGCGCCTCACCACTTCTGCACCAGCCTGACCGAAGGCTGGCTCAGCAGCTTGTCGGGGAGGAGGTTGACCTCTCGCATGGTGTTGGCGAGCCGCACCGGCAGCTCCTTACGCAGGAACATGTAGGACGTCTTTTCACAAGCATTGTCCCTGCCTGGGGGGAAAAAAAAAAAATTGTCCAAGCTGCACCGTTAAAGAGGACGGGAGGATCTGCAATGGCCTCGTACAGTAGATTACAGAACTCCCCCTTTGCCATTTCAGCAAGAGGAAACCCACCAGACCTCTTCCTAAAAGAATGAGTAATAATGCCTAAAATACACAGCTATCGGCTTTAAAACATTCCTGAGCGTTTTGCGACGTAGATCTATCCGTTAAATAGAAAACGACACACGTGAAGCGGGCGCAGCTCTTACTTCAGCACGCGGTCGAGAGCTTCAACCTTCGACGGGACCCCTCAAACTCTGCTCCCGTCCCCCACCGGCATCAGCTTGAACCGTTCAAGGAAATCATGAATCTGGCGATCCAGATGAAAGAGAGTGCGTGTGTGTGTGTGTGTGTGTGTGTGTCAAGGGATTTATGTACTGGACTGAATTACAGCAGCATGCTGTTAGATCTCCCCCCCCCAGAAAAACAACCATGACTTTGCATTTTTCCTCAACCATAAATGGAATAAACGCCGCCCAGCCAAGTCCACGTCGAAGCACGTGGACCCCGTTAACGTTAAGAAGTCTTTCAGGTTCTTCCAGCTCTCTGTTCAGAGCGAAAGGAAACGGCGCGACAAACAGGAAGCCTGTTGTGCAGACATTGCGTTGACCTGTGACAGACCTCAAGTGAGACAGGAAGATGTGACACTCAGTTGAATTTGGGGTGAAAACATGATGATCCGGCAGAATGAAAAGGAAGAGCTTCCCGCTTATTCAGCAAAATAAGGAGAAGGACTCTGAAATTATTAAAACGGGGCAGTGACACATCCGAATACAAACTTCAGCTCTGGAACAACACCAACAACAACACCGGTTTGTTAACGAAAGAGAACTTTACGTGTCTTCCAACATCCAACCCACAGCTGTGAGAACATATTGAGTAACAGCGATGGCTGTTTCATCTGAGATGGATTAAGAAAAAACTAAGCCTGCGGTGTGACTACAGACGTTGTCATGTCGCGTTGGAAGTCTCTTGCACAGTTGTTGCCTCTCCAACCAGAGAGGGACAAAAACACTGCAGATGCAAATAAAGGCTCTTAATTTGAAATACTAATGTACTGTGATTCATGCCCTGAAACCAGATCATCCACGCTGAGATGAGGCCGAAGCGAAAGAGTAAACAGAGTTTCATATTGACGCAATTGAGATGACAGTCGTCGTTTACTCACCAAAATCCAGAAACTGCTTGATGGACAGCGGGGACGGAGAGAATCTGGAGTAATACTCGATCTTGGGATTTGCGTTTTTCAGCAGACACGTGAAGATCCTCATCTTGGAAGCTTCAGTGATGATGATGATGATGCCTGGACGTGACCGAGAGAATCGTGAGATTCAGAATAAACGCGAGCATTTGACCCTCGGCGATGTGGCGCGCGGACAGTCCTCCCCTGTCCTCGGTGTCCACGCGTGTCCCCGCCCGGGAGTCTCCAGAGGACGAGGTGGATAAACGTCCATAAGGGTGCAGAGAGGACACAAACAATACGATGTCGAGAAGGCCACCTGGAGCTACATCCTTGTACGTTCACGTCAGATCAACAACAGCAAGCCAGACTGAATCTGACACTGGCTTCCGGTTGTTTTTCTTTTCAAAATAAGACGACATTCCGGTGAAGGTATCGGGTAGCAATCAAATCTGGTCCTAACTGATTACTAGCACTATGTTTTAGGTGTTTTAGGTTTAGATAATTACATGCTATTAAAGAAATAAATTGTGGTTATGTTGATATACATGAAATAGTGAGCATGGGCAACTTATAGTTACATAACGTATTGCTATAGATGGAAGATGGAGCAACAAGCACCAGCTAATAAGAAACTATAGAATATGAAAAGAGGTCTGTGATATGATACATCAGTTTAAAATACACGTACCCTGATTTTTTGGCTCGTAAATCCATCTCGAAGATCAGCTCAACGGGATCATGACCTGTGACCTTCTGGGATTTCTTTACCCTTCTAAACCATTAACATTTACAACTGCAGATATCTGGGATTTTCATGAGATCTCTTTATTAATTACTTGCAAATGCATACTTCCAGATTCCACACTCTTTTCTTTTCTTTTCATCTTTTTTCTTCTTACTGCGAGTAAGTATTAACGTATTAACTCTGTATACTTTCTTTCTTTTAAAAGACTGACGTGGTTCAAGTAAGCCGAGTAGAGCTTTTCTGTACGGCTGGGGAACGCTTTATTTTGAAGGACAAATAGTACGTCTTTCCGGCTCTTTGTTTCCGCTTGACACGCTTGAACAGCACGTACCTTCGAAAGTACGGACTCCGCCCTGCATGCGCCGTGCTCGTTGGATTCTCGTCGCTGATTGGCTTTAAACCAACCGGAAGAGGGCTGGCCAATCAGAATCCTCCGCCATACATTCAGCATTACCTCTGCGCGCACAGCGTCGGTTGCGCAAAAAAAGAGATGCGCCGTGTGTTGATGTACACGCCGTGGAATGTCCCGCCCAACTGTGGGAAGACAGGTCGTCGGCATGACGACACACCGGTAAGAAGTGAAGCGTGACGATCATGTCTCGGGGTTGTGAGCGGCAGCGCCATCTAGCGGCACAGGAGGAGGAGTTCGGCACCAAGGTTCTAGCTGGATGGGAGAAACTAGAACACTTGACGGGCGTGCAGGTGCATTTAATGGGATTATGGCGTTTAAAGGGCTCAGTATACATTACATAGTAACAGGGAGCGCTAAGGGCCGCGGGTTCAACTCAGAATGCAAACGTAAAGAGAAAAGTACCTTTTATAAGTCCGCACCACAAGACAGCGGATATAAATAAAGTGGCTCAATTTATAGTTGAGATCCCATTTTTTTAAATGTAATTTCCTGGGAGTTCACAGAGAACTAATTCAATACGGAAATTGTCAATTAATAAACGTAGGAGAAGTTTTTAAAAGTAATAATAACCAATATATATCTCACACACACACAGGTATTCAAAGAGAAAGTGTGTCCAAACTTTTGACTGGTACTGTATATAATAATAACATAACAACTTTATATTTCCTGGCACAAACGTGTCATTAAGTGGGAAGAATTCTAACTGTTGGATAAGGTCGTCTACAGTATCCACAAGATACGTTTAGGTACATTTCATTTATTAATATTGACTTATAAAATCTTCAATCAAATACATGCAGGGAATAGAAATTACAAACACCAAAAAAAAAAAAAAAAATCACACACAATCTTTCTCACACAAAATCACTCACACACGCACACACATCTCATGCGGAAGAAGTCCTTGCAACCATCTTGGTGGTTTCGCCGCCTTGCTCCTCCTCCTCTTCGGGTAAAGGGTCATACTGTCGGCGGTACAGCAGGCGAGACCCCAGCGTAATCAGGAACATCTCCAGGATCAGAAGCTGCTGACTCATCACTGTGGAGACGGAAAGGAGACGCAAGCGAGAGTCATCTGCCAGTCAGAGAAACTCAAAGAGTAATTCCTGGATGTCCTACTGACGTTACTGATGACCACGTGAATGAATGGAGCGGATGGATGTTGACTCACTGTATCCTCTGGCCATGGAGGAGAAGGGCGGAGAGCAGGCGATGGTCCCGTTCACAGCCAAGATGTTGATGATGGCTGTTTGCAGTTGACTCAGGATCAGCACAAGCTACAAAAAAACAAAAAACAATACCACCACATGTAGCTGACAAACAGAACGCTGGTAAAACCCTGTATGACTAGAAGGTTTAACTTATTAGAGTATTTGATTAACAATACAGCATTGCTAGCTACTTTACTTTGTGTAAACAGGTGTTTGTCTGCTGCCTCACCTGGTACAGCGCGTACTTGGGGATGATCTTGACGGTGCGCAGGGCGATCCTCAGGTGCATGAAGGTGATGGCGACAGGCCACAGGGCTATGATTGTCAAGACGCCCACAAACAAGTTCATCCATAGAGAAAATTCATCTGCGGTCATCTGAAACCAGGTCACACACACACACACAAGTTAGCAAGTCAACAACGAAGAATGCTGAGAATGCAACATATTTCATTGTTCATTGGCACCATCGAACCTGAATGCTTTTTTTATTTAACCAACAATACTAAACCAAACTCCTAATGCTACTAACTAATTACACTGAATACGTCAACATAACCGGGCGGCACGGTGGCGTGGTGGTTAGCACTGTCGCCTCACAGCAAGAAGGTCCTGGGTTCGATTCCGCCCAGTGGCCTTTCTGTGTGGAGTCTGCATGTTCTCCCCGTGTCTGCGTGGGTTCTCTCCGGGTTCTCCGGCTTCCTCCCAAAGACATGCGCTGGGGATCAGGTTAATTGGGGACTTTAAATTGCCCGTAGTTGTGTGAATGTGAGTGTGAATGGTTGTGTGTCTCTGTGTTGCCCTGCGATTGGCTGGCGACCAATCCAGGGTGTACCCTGTCTATCGCCCGAAGTTGGCTGGGATGGACTCCAGCCCCCCCGCGACCCTGTGTGCAGGATAAGCGGTCTGACAATGGATGGATGGATGGACGTCAACATAACACCTTTAAGTAATGCGTAGACGTAGAGTCATAATGATTCATCCAGAAGACATCGGGAATGTCTGATTGCTAAGAAATAAATCAGTCACTCAAAAGTCACATGTGATCAGCTGCGTCGTGAGTTACTCCTTCCTATTTCAGAAGTGTTACGTAGAAGCATGCATACACATGCTCATATACATATGATGCAACCATCGTGTTGCAGCCTGACATAGTGAGAGTGGCTTGAAGAAAACGCAGAGATGTAAACATGGATCAACAGTTGACATTTGTTAGAAATCTTCACAGCAAACTAATTTGATATGAACTCGGACCTGAATGCCAACGTCAACAACACGCTGATGTTTAACTGCCTTGTGTCAGCAAGCTGTGTGATGACTTTTTAATGAGCACAAAATACAACTCGCGTCAAATATTTTGTTACACAGCAAACCGAACAAATAAAACGCTCTGATCGCAGGAGTGTGCGAAGTCGTATGATACAGCTTCGGCGAACGTCAACAATGTCTGTATAAAATGTCACGGCAAACCCTCCAATAGTGCTCATGATTACATTACATTACATTACAGGTCATTTAGCAGACGCTTTTATCCAAAGCGACATACATTACACTTTAATATATCTCTCAGTCTCAGTCTGCAGACAAACCAACTAACAGGTGCTGAAATGATCTCGTCAATGTGACTGATTTGATCAAACAGTCAATAAGCGTTTGCTAATCACATACGTTCACTGTGTTCTAACCTCGTCTGGATCTTCAGCGTTCTGCACACCTTCAGCATTCATTCATTCTTAAATGATCACGAGGGATACATTTACATGTAGGTACACATTAAATAAGCATGCCATGCTAAAGGGTTAGAAAGAAAAAACGACTGGGAATCACAGACTGATACTACACAATAGGTATAATAGGCCGGAAAATAAAACTAAACTAAATCAGCATTGAAAGACCATTCAGTTTTTTCCATGTTGGTTACTCACACCAGTTCTGTTGTATGTCTCGTTGGTCCAGAGGACAATGGAAAGGATGGTGAAGGCCGTCTTTAGGACGGCGAACTGGAAGGAGCCAAGTTTGAGCAGGAAGAGCGAGCGCCTTTAGTTGGAACAAAGGAAACTCTTTCAGACTAACATAATGGTTTTAGTCTCCAGACACCTTTAAAAAACGCTTTATAATAGCCATTGTGAACATCTCCACGACAACCCATGGAAGATAATTGGCACAGGATGTTTTGAACAATCCAGAGGAGCGTTGGGCACAGCGTCACCGGCTTCAGACCTGCCCGTAATTAAATGTGGAGTAACAATGTTTATAGTCCCTCTGCGAAGCATTTGATGGGAAACTGGGTACTGCTCTTAGGACACATGGCTCAGCATATCTTGTCTGGACACCTATCATCATCATCATCATCATCATCCTCCTCCTCTTCCTTGTGTACAGCACAAAGGTTTACGCAAAAGGAAGATATGTGTAGTTGCAGTTCACGCATGTAAAGCGGTGCGCAGCCGGCAAACATCTGTTTGACATCTGTCATTTTTGATCAGACTACACTCACTGCTGCTACAGCAAACACCGTATGAGGGTGAAGCTTGTGATCCCTGGATTCATTTGAACCTGGATCAATAAACGCTGTCTAATGGGGGAATTCGGACAATGTTTACCCAGCCAAACTATGAACCTTCAAAGAGTTCAATGGTCTGCAGTGTGTTCAAACAGCATAACAAAAAAAAAAAGAAAAAAGAACAGAGGCGCACATGTACTGTGTCCAGTACTGTATGCACAGATGATCGCTGAGTTTGTGCAATCCTTGAAACCGGCCAAAAGCAATGTTGGAGTTCATTAGTCTCAAGCATGCAACATCCCGGTGACAACCTGCGCTTGGGGAGCACTGCAGAATGCTGCGGTCATCACCTCACTATTGGGATTGTTCACATCTAAATTTAATTCTGGTTTATCTCAATGTGCCGCTCAGGCTCGTGCCAACTCTGCGTGCGCCTCCTTCTGCCATTCTGGGCGCTTCCTGCAGTTACGAGTTGTACACAAATCCTCGTCTCTGGCGACTGGACCGGTCATTATGGCTAACTGCAATGGAATCTACATCTGTGGCTACTGGCCAGCCGTATACGGGCTACTATGGAACTCAAGGACAAGACTGCCAGGAATTGGGACTCTAGGAAGCTTGTGGGATCTGAATCATTGGGGAAGGGAAATCTACATACTGTTACTCAGTATAACGTGTAAGTGCTTAAGTTCATCAGCACAGCTGACTCCATAAATCTCCACCCAGGGCCGCCGCCCCCCCCCCCCCCCCCCATAAAAACAAATGGTATAATGCAGATGATCGAGCCCTCGGTGGGATTCAATCAGGGGCAGGGCAGACAATTACGCTGGCAAGACAAACAAACAAAAGCAGGAAGTGAAGTGTACATGGGACAAACAGGTAACCAAACTAAACCCAAGAACGCAGCGGAAACAAACGCATTCCCCATTCCACGCTTGTTAATAGCGGAGGATCAGTTACATATGTGCTTTCATGCAGTGTCTTTTTAATTTGGATTTAAACTAGAAATTAGAGATCCGTAAGGTAGAGCAGGGAATAAACCCGGTTGATAACTACACTGTTCACTGCACGATTGGTGCCCAAACTCCTCTGCAGAGGAGGTTTTCCACATCTGACCCTATGGGAGCTGTCCAACAACACAACACAGAAGGGATCCTCTTCGCAGGAAACCAGCACCAGTGGTTATTACACCAGAGAAGAAAAAACAGATGTTGCAAACACGTTGTATCGGTTATGATGACCACAGAGCGTTTTACCGTGTGATGGCCGCGTGTGGCAGGCAGGGGCAGCAGCAGCAGCACGGCCCCGTGCTGATCCGGAGTTTGTGTTTCGATGCTCGCCTCAGGAAAGCCTCGTCACCGCCCACCTCCTCCAGCATCAGGATCAGGAACTTGAAGACCACGATGGCAAAGTAGCTACGGGGAGATAAAGGTAAAAAAGAAAATGAGGGACTTGAAGAGAAGGCAGGAACAATGTGATAAGACTTGCCCCACTTGGTATTTTACCCTGAACCCTTTGTTATTGTGTAATCCTTGTGATAGCATGTCAGGGGGGGCTACGGATGCAAATGAGCTACAGCTATACGCTGGTACAGTGCATCAGATGCATGGAATGTAAATGGTTCATTTTAAATAAATAAACAACGAGAGAAGTATGAAGAACAGACACGTTGAGATGCAGACACATTGCACAATAGCATCCCTGTTTTTGGTAAAACTCCCAGTAGAATATCAAGTTCAAGTTTCTCCATCTGGGATTTTTACCGCAGGGCTCGGTGGGTAAAAAGAAAACACTAAAAAAGCACTCTAAGGCAGTGGTTCTTAACCTTAATGGAGCTACTGAACCATGCAATCTTCATCAGGGCATTCAGCCATCCCTTCCTCATTGAAGAAATAAATGATTTTATTAGTGCGCACAAAACACTCCAACTCACCGTCAAGATCGGCGATAGAATACAGTTTGTCAGTTAGTGGTTACTGCTAAATTTAGGCTGCATGTTTTGACGTTGGGGCATGATCATGACTTTGCTGGTCACTTAGGAACTTTTTTTGGTCTAAAGGCTGACTTGGTGAAGCACTGCCGTTCATGCCATCGCTTTCAGGTGGCAGGTAAACCTAACCAGGTTACTCCCCCTGCTCCACTCCATCCAATTCCGGTCATAGGGGAGCCCTTTGAACGCATCATTTTAGATTGTGTTGGGCCTTTGCCAAAAAAATAATCTGGGCATCGATTCCTGTTGACCATCATGTGTGCCGCTACACGCTACCCAGAAGCTGTTCCACTGCGATCCATTGAGGCAAAGCCAGTAGTGAAGGCGTTAATACGTTTTTTTTTTTGACTTTCGGATTGCCCAAAGTCGTTCAAACTGACCAAGGATCAAATTTCCTGTCTCGCTTATTTTTATTACAGCAGCTCTCCATCCCACAGTGTTTCCAGTGCTTCTCATCCACAGTCTCGAGGGGCTCTGGAGAGATTCCATCAGACGCTGAAGTCCGCACTTACTGTTTTGATTCTGCTGGAGAGTGGGATGATGGTCTCCCGCTGCTTTCGTTCGCGGCGCGTGAAACGACTCAAGAGTCACTGGGGTTCAGCCCGGCGGATTTGATCTTTGAGCCATTCAGTCCGTGGTCCGTTGAAATTGTTGCGTGAGAGGTGGGGGCGCAGAGACCACCGAACCGCAAGACAGTTGTCTGTGCATTTCGTGAGCGCTTGGACGAGACTTGTGTCCGAATTTTGACCTGCCGTTTAAACTGGAGGTTGATGCGAGCGCGACGCAGGCTGGTGCTGTCCCTCTGCAGGAAGGTACAGATGGACTGGATCCCCCAGTCTCTTACTTCTCAAAAAAGTTCACTTACAGGTTTACATTGGGTGGAAATTCATTTTAAGAAGGGGTGTGCTAACATTCTGGCGGACACTCTGTCTCGCACACATCAATAACAATTGTTTGCTAAAGGCTTTTGTACATGTTGATTTCTACTGGCGGGGGTGTTACATCCCTGACCATTGTTGGTGGCCTGTATCTTTCTTTCCGTGTTTCGCAGGCAGCCCAGCAGACGACTTAGTTGAGGATCCATCTTGATTGGATGCATCATCAGAGCCGGCCCCTTTAAAACACATCATCGAGGGGGGGGAAATCGGGAGAGGAAAAGAAGCATGTGGCTGGTTTGGCTGCCGCCGTGTTCAAGAACAATAAATTCTTTACTATTGGCTGCGACGTTCATTACTTTCCATCGCGTTTGTTTTTGTTATGTTGCCGGAGCCTAGCTGGGAACATAACACACACAAAAACATAAGTCGTATTATTTTTGCAAAAAAGGTCTGTTCCCTTTCTTAGTCGTCTAACGACCTTGAAAAGGATCGCTCGCAAAGATACGTTGTAACAAACGGTCTCAAGGGCGTTCTCAGCAATAGGAGGATTTGGTACGATTTGGTGACACCGAAAAGGTAGAGAGAGTGTTGTTGTTGATGTTGTTGTTGTTGTGAAGCGTCTGCTGGATTTATTCGAGGTATTCGCAGTTGATATCTGCTCCGGCAACAATGGACATGAACGATTGTCTCGCGTGACCTTACGGGGAGCCCCTGAGGGTTCGTCCGAGAACCGCTGCTCTAAGGTATCTAAGAAAGGCGGAGAGAGCGGGACCCACCAAGCAGAGGTCATGTCGGTAAACATGGTGGCTCTGGGAACCCACATCCCCAAACACGACATGGTGCCAATCACCTGAAACAGAGGGAACGCAGCGTGACGTCGCGGTATTTTCAAATCAACACAAACCACTGGGTTTCTTTTTATTCATTTTTTTTACGCTTACCGGTGCCGCGCCGTTCACCCAGATGATTGGGCTCTTCTTGTTGACCGGCACTTTCTTGTAGATGTAGGCACACTCCTCCAGGAAGACCAGCATGGACACCGTCGCCATGAAGGTGAGCAGCGAGTACGTAATGATGCCGTAGGTGTCCAATTCTTCAGGGAGAGACGGGAAAATGTCCCAACCAATTAGCCGGTCTTTATTTTGGCCTTTCTCCAGAGGTTTAAAATTGGCTTAATCTTTATGAAAAATGGCTATTCATGTTGGCCTTACTTTTTTCTGCCAGAAAATAACATGTGTTAACAAGACTACGAGTAAACAGCCATAGCGGTTTGTACTACAGTAAACGGTAACACGCCAAAGCTAACATGCCCACAATTAAAATGCTCACAAGCAAACGATTAGTTTATGTTTGCCATCCCAGCACTTAACACACAGCCCGCCTGAGGCGATGAATGGTGTTGGCGCTACATTGGAAGCATACATGCTGTGTAGGGGAACTTATGGAAGACTAATTAAAACTTACTTAACTTAAAAGCAGCTCTATTTGGTAAGCAAACATGTTCTTTACCTCCAATTCTGAGGGTTAACCAAATACTGAACTGCGTTAACTGTTTTTACTATGAGGTTAACAAGAAGGTCCGATAAGAAATCGAAGATTATGAATCAATTAAAAGAAACGAAAATAAAAGAAACACATGTGAAATCAAATGCAGGCCTGCTCTCCGAGATGAACAAAAAGAAATCATTCATTTCCAAGAATACCTTCTCAGAGAGGAAAAGCAGAACACAGATGCGTCGGACAGACCGCTGTGTCTCATTTCACAGCAGCAGTATATGTTCACAGTGAAACAGACAAAGCTTAGTTAATTGTTCCAGTATGTTTCCCATATGTGTGCGTCATTTACTCTCTGGTATCCAATGTGATTATGAAGTGAATCAGAACCGAAACGCAAAAAACAAACACACACACACACACACACACACACACACACACACACACACACACACACACACACACACACATCCCGTTTTGCTGATTTATTTCCGTGACAAAGCAGACGAATAGCAGACTTTTGAAATCTTTTCTGACATTCTGATTGTTTTTAATTATGTTTCTACTAGCTAATTTTGTTTACGAATCCCTAAATCTTTTAAAACAAATGTGACTAAGCTAATCTTGCCAGAGCGCTTTAGTGCACAACCAACCGTGACACTATTGAGTTATTAAGTTACGTGAAGCATTTTTTCTTAATTAGGATGTTAACGTGTAATCAGTAATGTAGTCTTAAAACTGTTCCAAGGGAGAACATTTGAAAAAGGTTTTAAAAAGAAAATCTTGAACATGGGCGAAATGGAAAAAACAAACCTATAAAATGTCAGACAACTAAACCTTAAAGGAGTTTTACAGTGAAATGGAAAACACCGTCAGGAGCCTATTTAATTATCCATTTACAATTACACCGCCACCCTGAAGAAACCGATTCATTTAATCACTCGTTGAAAAGTCATAATCAGCAACAAGAACTGCGCTTTATCATCTGGCAGTTTATGTGGATTCTAATCTTGCAAATTGTTGTTGCTGGTGGGGGGGCAGCAGAGCCCCCCAGCAGACACACATTCATTCATGCCCTTCATTAGTTGGGATGCCGGCTGGAGGGACCAGAGACAGAGACGGAGACAGAACCCGGACCCATCAAACAAGGGACGACTCACTGGTGATGATGTCGATGGCCAGCGGAGGCTCCTGCGTGCAGCTCGGGTCGCTGGTTCCGTTGGGTCCGCTGTCCATGTCGGCTGGAATATTAACACGCGCGACCTCCAACTTGTTCCTCTTTGCAGCCAAACTGTCTCCGAAAGGTCCCGGAGAGCCTCCTCAAACTTTTTCCAGAGAGGCACGTCTGCGCCCCCCCTCCAACGCGAAACACTTGCTGCTGGGTCAGGCTTAAGACCCGCCCCTCCTCCGCCGCCATAGGCGCAGAGAGACGTCCGTCAAAAAGCGGCCCACGTCCTCCGCGGATTGACGTGAGGGGGTCGCGGTCGGGAGGTCCGCCTCGTGTCGCGCCTTCCTCCAGCTGCGGTGTTTATCGCTGGTCGCTTCGGACCGCGGCCTCCACTCATGTCACACGCGGCACCTCGTTCCCTTGGCAACTCGACACTGTGGGGCGGTGTCGTCACGCGAGGCATTTGCTGCAAAAATCTTTTTTTGCATCCCGGGCTGCGTGTTTTTCCCCAGCACACCCTGACACACACACACACACACACACACACAAACACACACACACACACACACACACACACACACACACACACTTAACACTCTTTGGCAATGATGGCAGAGGCACATTTTATCAGATTAAGATCTCTAACTCTGCTGCCATGGTCCGCCTGGAGGGACAGATCTTGCAACTCAATGGGATTTTTCTGATGAAGTAAAGGATATACGGGTATATAAAAAAAATCCCCTCCGGCCAATTATTTATCACACATGCCTGTTTGTTCGGCATGGCTTCCAGAGACTGGAGTAACATGAGACAGCTCGTGATCCGAAGCGGCATGTGCAGACCTGTCTGGGAAATAACTACAGGAGGGGAAGCAACACACAAGAGTGTATTTTATGCTGCCCGACACAGCAACACATCTCCCTCCAACCTCATAGGACGATTGAATAATTTCAACAAGTTTGAGCAGCTTTTTTCGGTCCGCTGCACACGAGGCACACCTTAGATTACATTTCTATTCCAGGAGACTCAGCAGGAAGGATTTGCCCCGACTGGCCTGAGTTCATGGGATCATTACAAAAGGTTTAAGAACCTACGGAGCAAACCTCAGCCACGAAATCACACCACAAACTGCACCCTTATTCTGCTTCCGTGTTCTGAAGGTTACGAAGATGATAACGTCGTGGGATGGCTGATAATTTGGAGCACAACTCACAACATGAGCTGCTGAGGGTCAGATTTATTGAGAAACGGCCTCACAGTCGTGTCTGGCGCCAACGGACAAGAGCAGCTATGACGACTTGAATCTGAAATCTGTTCAATGGTCGATTTGCCCTTTAATGGATGAACCATTTAAAAGTGCTTTGGCGAAACTGCGGCCGCTCTGGCCTTGCTGGTGGTCGACTTGTTTTAACAAGTCACTGTTTACTTTCCTTCAAAAGCTGACACGGAGGTCATTACCTTGGGTGGTGCGCAGCACACGTGTGCACGGACACACAGCATACATACACAAGAAAGTTCAAATAAAAGATAAAATAAAGTGATTCATGGGTATTTATATATTTTTTTCTAATAGTTATCATTGCGTGTGTGGTTTTTCTTACGTGCTGAGTCATGCTCGAATGACTTTTGCAAGTGCAGAAATGCGATATCTACCCCAGAGACTCTGCTCCCTCCCAATATGTTAAATGTAATAGTTTTACAAACAGCCGAGGGAGACACTTTTGTGGAGGAAATTCCAATGAAGAAAGTTGAGTAAAGAGGAGGGCAGTCGACCGCTGGGGTCAAGAGCCTGCGTGCTACACAGATAACAGAGGTTCATCTGGATTCTTTTAATCTCAGCCCACAAATTGTGAGCACCGAACCGTTGGGTTTTAGTTTTGTGTCACGCTTTAATAAGCACTGACATGTTTATTAAGTTCTCTGAACTCTCTGATCACTGTCTTCCTCTGACGACACTTTGGGTCTTTAATGCAAAAACATTGACTAACACTTATCTAGTTTTTTAAATGTATATAGAAATAAATTGTTTGCATCAAAATGACTTGATAATGTAAAGGAGCATGAATATATTTTTTGTAAAAAAAATCTGGGAGGTTTGAAAAAAAAAAAAAAGAGCATGTTATTTTCCCGTTTATTGTGTAGAGGCATTTACGTCATTGACAAAGTAGGAACAGTAAAATGAATCAGACAAGAAAAATATATATGTAGTCTTTTCCTTACATTATCAATATATATACACACACAACACACATTGTAAAATATGACATTGTAATAAAAGAAACTAAGCAAGTTATGATATGTCTGTATTCACAATGTGGATGTAGCCTAAAATGGTTATTTATAAAAACAAAAAATCATCATCACAGCTTTTCACAGCTGTTTTTATGGCTTTCTGTATCAACTTGAGACAAACCAGAGTGAAGCTTGTTTAAATCACGACTCATCTAGCATCAATTGGAAAAAAAGCTTCTTTTTTTTTTTTTTTTTTAAACACCATAATCCCCATTATAATGGTAAAATACATTTTTACGCAAAGTGTAGGCGCCATGCTTTTGAGCATCAGGCCGACGTCATTCATGTATACTGACATGTAAAAATCTCACGGCTGCACAGAAGCATTCCTTCCCAGACGACAATATTACAAAAGAACAGCACTACAAAACACGCACACTTTAGTCCGAAGGCCGAACCGCCCAAGGCGTTTTGTAAAACAAGACGACGGGTCCAATGTTTCAGAATCAGTGGCTTTAAGATGACGGAACCGAGGATGCAACTAAATGTTCAGTGTGCGGGACCTTCGTGATTAAAATCGTATCCTTGGCTTGAATCATGAACTCTGAGGTTGAACCACAGTGTAATCCTCACTTAGCCAGCCCGCCGCCCGCCCGCCCCCCATGAGCACAATTTCTACATTGAGTTAACACATATCCACCAATCACTGTTTGGCAAAGAGTTATTATTAATACACTTGGGTTCAAAAAAGTTGATTGGAAGGAGAAAAAAAAAAAAAAAAAAAAAAAAAAAGAAGTAAAAGTTGAACCATTGGGCCGTTTTTTATCATTTGAACAAACACTGTCCCATTTGTGGTAAATTCAGAAACACTGAGACAATGATTACCGGGAAGAACCCGCACCGTACGACACCATAGAAACTGTAAACTTGTAGGAGGCTCCAACAGTCAGTGACGGGGTCGTATTCGGTCGTTTGCTGGGCATCCTTCCAATGTAAATTGAAAAGTTGCATATATAAACCCCCACACTAAAGTCTGCGAAAGGATGCAACTAAATCCTCTGTTATTTGGTTTTTCACTGATACTTTCACAGATATTATCATGTGCAGTCATGAAATATGATTTAGCCGAACCCCTTCGCAGTCACTGACTCCTCCCGGATGTTCAAGCAGAGGCTCATCAAACAGTTCAAGGTCACAGCGCTAATCTGACTCCGGAGGACACACTGCGAGGTGAGGAGAAGCCGTAGTCCACATCCATCTGTCACATCGGATGGGTTTAAGTCTTCCACTTCAAAAGACATCCGGGTGAATTATTACAGCAACATAATGCACATTCAACACTTCAAAAAATTAAAAATGTAATCCTGAAGAAATCTCCAACTGCAAATCAGACCGGAAGTGAATTGAGCCCCGAGCCACTGCAGGACGATGACAGGCGCGGTGTCGCCGCCTGCCGGCCTGCACTGGTATTGCGAGGACATCATGACCGGCACCACCTTGTAGAAAATATTGCGCCGCCACGACCTCGAGAATTTGGTTATGACAACGATGACCAGTGTGTTTGAGATAAAGCTGGGAAGTTGTAAACACTTTCAGTCTCAGAGGTCAGAGGTCTCGACAGTTCAGCCCTTATTTGGCAATGAGAGTTGGTGTCTTAGGAAAAAGGCTGAAAAGTGAGCTGTAGAAAAACAGGCCGGAGACATTGCTGAGAATCACTGATCGATATGAAGAACTAACATACGAGTATGAAAGCAAAAAAGGTAGCGAAAGACGCTGCATATTGCACGTAATGCATCTCATGGGTCGTTTATAAACGGAATAAACAGACATTTTACGCACATTCCTTTAGTTGCTGTTAATTCTTAAAAATAAAAATGTAAAAATCACTGCCACTTCAACTGTACCTCACATTCTCACAAACGATACGCCATGAATCACAAGATCCATCCAACGCCCGGTACACACGGGATGCTTTTTGGATGCGATAATTCGAATAAAGGAGCGCGTTGTTTGATGGACATTGAAAGTCTACAAAGTGCAAATGCACCACCTTGTGCTGTGATGACACACCATCCGAAACCCAGCTGCAGTCCTTCCTGCATCGGTTCAGTCCACTGAATCGTGCAGTCCCCTGCGAGATAGCTCAGGTTTTGATGGGAAACATCCATCTGAAAAAGTTGCAGACCACAGATGCCCTCAAACATTATGAATAAAAAAAAAAGACAAATTAAATAAAAAGTAAAGAAACTGGCACACGGGTAAAATAAAATAAAAATGCGAGAGAAAACCAGCTTGTCGCACACTCTTCACTGCAGGTTTGAACTGATAAAATGAGTCCTGATGCACCAGGAAGCTTTCGGCATCAGAAAAAAAAAGAAAAAAAAAGTACCACTAAAAGTAACCCAAATTCCTTCTGGGATTCTTGAATGTTCTCATCAATACATGCTCCACTTGCAAAAAAAGTAAATAATACAAAGAATAATGTGTACAGTTGAATAACATGGTATCAGCGTGTAGGTGTGTGTGTGTTTGTGTGCGTTGTAGTGTGAGAGGGTCCGATGGCGGTTGATGTGAGACTCACAACACTGCATGCAAAAATGTCATTGACAATGATGCATTATTGCGATGGCCAGAAATAAAAAAATGCATTTCCGTTGTCACTCCGAAGGGGTCCGTGGGGAGGGAGACATGGCGGCAAACTTAACCGTTGCGTTGCTTAAGGCATCACATCAGATGACTGAGGAGTTCCTCCTATGGAACAGGAGAAGCACAAAAACCAAGACAATCAGGCACATTATGGATTTACACACAACGTGTGTGAAGAGACACCGAGCGGCTGCACTCACCTTCACCTGGTTAGGACTCGCCCTCCATGGAGATTGTGATGGCTTCACTTTCAGCTGTGAAGACAAACGGTCCATGTGTTAAGGACAGTTAGTTGTCAATTCTGCCGGTGAAATATTGCCCCCTCCCGATTGAGCCCACCTGGTTTGAGGGTGTTATTTGCCTGATGGTCTCCAATGTCGTTGGCGTGCTGGTCGTTGCTCAGGAGGCGGTTCTGAGACTCGCTGACGGGGCTCTCAGGGACGTCGGCAGCACTGCGAAAAGCCCGAAAAAGAAAAAAAGGAAATAAGCTAAATAAACTCCAAAAAGCATAAATCCTCCCGTCCTGTCAAATAATATAAATGTCACGATGCCGAGATCGACCACCTTTTACCGGGCTCCGGCTGCAGGGTCACCGCGGCCTGCTCCACGTCCGCCGGGTTGACCAGCCGCGCCGGGAACGTCAGACCGTCTCCCTGACTTTGGTAAACGAGGAGAAACTCAAGATTAGGTCGAGCCCGGCTGCAGCGCAACAAAAACCGCAGCGGGATCAGATCCCCTGTGGATCTACAACAAAGCGAACATGACATACAAAAGGGAGCTCTAGTCCATCCAAATCCTTCTGTGGCATTAAACAAAATTGTCAGGCGCATTTCTTCTACGATTCTTCTACGATGACTGCTGGATGCGACGTGCGTCTCCTTTACCTGGTGAAGACCGGCAGCAGCCAGTACTTCTTCTGGTCCCCGAAGACCTGAGCCATGTTCTTCCGGTAACCGAGAGAGAAGCCGTTCTTATCGGAGCCTGATCTGAAGACTGGCGCTCTGAACGCCTCTGCAGAGAGGGAGCAACGCGGAGAGACAAGCATGGACGCAGAGGACAAGCACAAAAGGCCATTAACAAACAGGTGAACAGAAAGGGAAGTAATGGGACCAAAGATCTTGTCGTCCATTACTTCTCGGTGTGTGTGTGTGTGTCTTTTAAAAAAAAAAAAAACGAAATTCAGAGACTAACAGAAAGATGTGTTGACTGGGCGTGCGTTTGTTACCTATGGTGGACCTGTTCTTCCCGACCAGCCACAGGTGGTAGCTGAAGAGGGACAGAATACTGATGCAGAACATGGCCGCCACAAAAAAGAGAAACAAGACATGGAATTTGGCGTGAGTGTCTGGCAGCTCATTCTGGGGGGGGAAGAGACGAGAGACAAGGAGACCGAGAGACGAATCAGCAGCATGTCCACGGGGGGGGATATTTCACTGCACCAAAAGGAAATGAGAGAGAGGGGCCTTGTGTGAATCACATCACTGCACGCACACCACGACTGATAACCATGGCAACGATGGGGAGGCGCCGCTAAAGGCTTTGGAGGACAGCTGCGTTACCTTTGGGCAGTTCTCTGCCGATTTTCTCCGGCAAAGCTTTAGTACAAACAGAAACAAGAGCGGTTAGCAACACCAGGAGAGTTCAGGTGGGACGGGAGGGGAGGGAAACGGCAGGCAAATACAAGTCAATGCCAAGTGTGGGGAGGGGGAGAGGGGTCGAATGAACAAAAAGGGATGAAAGAGGGAGAGATGAGAGGAGATCAAAGTGGAGGCTGACTGATCCGATGGTGGAGGGGGGACAGAAAAGAGAGGGAGAGAGAGAGAGAGATTAGAGAACAATGACCCACTGTGCGAGAACCCGGGGATAACAGAAGGGGGAACCGACAGGGGTCAGGAGTGGGGGAGAGGAGGGGGGGGCGGTGTGCAGACGACTCAAACACCAGAGCGGTACGGCGGGAGAGGTCAGCGCCGCGCACCACCCGCCTCGCGCGTCCCAAGACGCGCCAAGCGTTCACGCACACCGGGCGCCGTTCACTCACGGTCCAGAACTTGATGAAATATTGCAGCACGGTGGCCGCGATGAACAAGCAGTACACCAGCGAGTAGGCCAGGAACAGGATGAAGAACTTGTAGTTGGAGAACCCGACGCAGTTGTTCACCCTGGAAGCGCAGAGAGAGAGAGAGAGAGAGAGGGGGGGGGTCCGATCAGAGGGCTTAACGCCTCCATGGTGGGGGGCTCTTTGCTACTCTGACGGAGGCGTCGGTTTGTCGTCATGTACAGTTACGCGTCTTTGCCGGGCAGCTGTTACGTACCAGGGACAATGGTGGTCCATCTTCAGAACACACCTGCCACACGGAGAGAACAGGGAGGAAAAACAGAGGATAATAGCAGTGCGTTAAAAACGGCTTAAAAAAAAGGTGTGTGTGTGTGTGTGTGTGTGTGTTGGCTGACCCATGTCTTAAAGTCAGCGTTTAATAAAACAGGGGTTTCATTTCCTTACATGTCGCACGCGGAGCAGTGGTGACATCGGTCGGGCTTGATCACTTGACAGCGGTCGCAGTAGCGGATCGCTGCAACGCGCCAACACAACGGGACGTGGTTACGGGACGGCCTGCAGGGCTCTCTCACTTCACACACACACACGTTGGCATTTCACATGTACCTCCGGCGCCTGTGCGCGTGTACAGAGGCAGACTGGTGGCGGCTCTCCAGAGGATCTCCTGCTGGGACTCTGGCCTCCCCTCCTTCTCGTAACGCTCCTTCTCAGCTTTGGGAAGGCAGAACTGCAGCGCAGGGAGGAAGCAAGAAGAAGAAGTGGATTTTTAATGTCAAACCTGGGGATTGTGGAGATGCCGAGCCGGCTGGTTTGGGGGAATTAGGCTGCTGTACCTCTTTGGAGGGGTTGGCAGGCCGGGTGAATATGGTCTGCCAGTAAGACCACACAAACAGGATGAAAGAGATGTGGAAGAAGATCAGGTAGACGACTGGGGGAGCGGGGAGAACAAACAGTGACATCGCATTAGTATTTAATAGTTCACATACATAACTGCTGCTGTCACTCGTATCCATGGAAACACTATTAGGTCTGGTTTTCTTTTGCATTGGATTTTAAAAAAGGACGTGTTTTTGACACTTACTCTTCTCTCCTATACTGGGGATGGTGACTGGAAGAGAAACAGACAGACAGTTAAAATGTGGGCTTTAATGTGATACATTCATAAGTCACAAAATGATAAAAAGGGATGAGAATGAAAGGAAAATAGTGGTACTTTAGAACTCTTCTCCGGATGAGTAAGAAAGCTCATTCAGTCAAAAAAAGACAACATTTGTGCCCAGTTGTCTTCTAGTTTCTGCAGCAGCGTCTTGTCCACAATGAGGAGATTGTTTTCTGGGTCAATGAGCTGTCAGTTTAAAATTGTGGGTTCATTTGGGAGAGAAAAGTCAGAAAAATGGGAAAATCAAAACAACCTATATCTGATAGAACTCAATCTGCAGAGGAAAACTGACTTTCAGGTTTAAATGTCTATTGATTCCTATTTAAAAACAGTGGATAATCAACCCCCCCACATGCATGAACCCAAAAACCATCAGGAGCCACTTATCTAATCTCCACCAGATCCGTGAGAGTGTTTTAGGAAATCCACAAATCCACAAACAACACATGACAATGACATCCTTCACACTTTAACACTTCTTCCGATTATAAATAATGTTCCCTTCAAGTTGAATATTAAAACCGCAAACGAATCCTCAGTCTAATTAGAAGGGAAGTAACATCTGGCTCGCGTGCAGAACGCTTTCGCGTTAAATGAGCGTTTTTATTTCCTCATCCAGACTCTGTTTGTGTGTTTGCCCACCAACACGAGACAACCCCCCCCCGAGGCGACAGCAGCCCACCGACTGGCGGACCGGCTCACCGACACCGCTGTCGACCTGCGGGTCCGTTTTACTTCCTGCTAACGAGCGGCGGCTCGTAACAGCAGCTGTGTGCGTGCGTGTGTGTGTGTATGTTTGTCTGTGTGCGTGTGTGTGTGTGTGTGTGTGTGTGTGTGTGTGTGTGTGTGTGTGTGTGTGTGTGTGTGTGTGTGTGTGTGTGTGTGGCACAGTGAGAGAGCGTGAGCGGAAAAGAAAAAGAAAAAAAAAACCCCACCCACCCGAGCGGCGGAGGGCTTTACCGGGCGAGCGGAGGCCGGCGGGGCGGCTTACTTACGCACGCAGAGCTCCACCACGTAGGCGTAGTACGACCAGCAGACGACCAGGGCGATAAAAATCACAGGTATCCACGCTAAACCCCGCTGACAGCATCTCAGGACGTGTGTGGGCGCCATCTTTCTGCCTCTGCTGGGGGAAAAGGGAGTGTCGCTGTGTGACGTCACGGGACGGCTTTTTCTTTTTTTTTTTGTAGGGGTGGCACGAGGTTGGGGGGGGGGGGGGTCGATCTTTATTTTGTATCAATATTTGCAAAAAATAATGAATTATTGAACATGGTATTTGTCAAGAAGACAAACTGCTCTTAGGTGTTGTATCCCTATATTACATTTATTACATTATTATGAAGCATCACCTGACTTTGGGGAGATGATATTTATTGTCCATTGCTCTTCGATGGACACGCTCTACGACCGTTGCCAGCTCACCGACAAGTCGAAGCTGGGAGTACTAGTTGTTAATCCATGACGGGACGACTGTCGGCAGACCGAGCAGCTCTATCAAAAGTACACACAGCAACGCTGCTGGGAACCATAACCAGGCATCTGAGAGACGAGGAGATGCCTGGTTTTCTAGAGGAGACGTTTTGGAGATGTTCTAAATGCTCCACTGATACCAGAGGATGAGAAAATCACACCACACCCAGTCATGTATTGTATTGGCAAAATAATGTGAGAAATGGATCTTCTCATTGAGATGACCAAGATAGAAACACACCCAAATGCAAACAAAAAAAACGCATTTACAGCATTTTACAACACGTGCAACAAAGGAGATAAATTGTCAGTCTGATTTAATAAATTATACATACACTTTTAAGATGTACAACAGTCATTGCATTAATCCATCTGTCTTTCTTTTCTTTTTTTAACACAAAGTCTGCGTTCAAAGTATTTACACATGTACAATTATCATCAGGCAGCACTTTACAAAGCGAGGCATGAATGACAATACAGATGTTTATCTTCACGTCAACCCTCAGGCTCCTCCCCCTCTTTGCCTGCGCGTCGGAGTGAGGAGGATTACTCCGCTGTCCCATGATTATAATACATCTTCCCATCCCACCTTTCCACGGGCATGAAAGGGAATACAAGAAATTGAACGACATCCATCGAGTCCGTCAAGATCCACAGGCGGTTCGAAAAAGACAACGGTCCAAAGACTCAAGTTGAAAAAACGGAAAAAGGGAGCGGCGTAATCAGTAGCCGGGGTGTGCGCACGGTAATCGGTGCATGAACGCGGCAACGCGTGACGCGGATCTACTCGGCGACGGCGACGGGGGGCGCGATTGAGCTCGCTCTTGCGGCCTTCCGTTCGTAGTTGACCAGCCTCTGCCCGACCAGGTACCTGCAAACAGAGCGATCGTCACGACAAGGAGGAGCTGTGAACTGTAAAAGTACAAGTACCGTTTCCCACAGGTGGGTCGACCGCAACGGGTCCTTACTTGTCGTTCTTGATGTGTTCATAAAGGCGCTTGAACTGCCGGATCTGGAAGGACAGGATGCCGACGAGCGAGACCACCATCAAGAGGAACGGGTAGATTCTCCTCTGCATTAGGATCTCCATCTCTGGGGTCACTCCTGCAAAAGTAACTTCAGTAAGCAAGCGTTTACGACAACTTTCCCATTAGCCAAAGCTGTAGTGACTGCAACCGTCATCTGGAGGTGAGACAGAACATATAAAAAAAACAACGCACTTCGATAACTCATGTCACGTCAACTCGTTCACGGGTTTGATCTACTGGAATGTGTCGGGGCTGTAAGTGGATTCGAGTGAACTACACCAGCGGTTTATTCCTCTCTATTCGCTCTATTCGCTACTGACATCGTGAGCATTACTCACCACAGAAGATAATATTTGCTGGTATTTTTCCCCTTACTTTGGGTTCTCCACAAAAACAAAAAAAAGTACACAATAGAATACAGCGAAAAGAAGAACATTTTGAATACAATTGATTGATTTCCTTGCACACGAGTACTCAAGACACTCACCGACGGCAGGCACCACCCCGGCAGCGATCACGTACGGCACGCACAAGGACAGCAGCAGGACCGAGATGACCGGAGCCGCCAGCTTGCGGATGATGAACTGGAGATCGATGTTGCGAATGCCGTTTGCGTAGACCTGAGGAGAGAGTTTACGGTCATTATACTCAAAAAAAACAAACAGCCCTGAGCGGAGCGATTTCATGGCAACATTGGAGGTTTAACTCAGGTTTCCCTGCTGCTCCGTTTATTCTCTGCACACAAGATACAGTGTAAAAGCAAAGCAGAATATCCCTCTCTAAAACCCACCTGCTCAATAACGGTCTTCAGCCACCACTGCGGGCCCATGAGAGTGATGGCAGCAATGATTTTGGCATGGAGTACTCCCAGAGCCCAGTCCTGCAGTCAACAGAGAAGTGAAGGGATTACTGTGGGTGATTGAACTGGGGACGACACGACAATGTGTGGAGGGAACTGTCACAACACGCTGCGTGACGATAAACCACTAAAAGGAATTCCGTTAAGAGAGAGAAGAAAGAACACCGCGTACAACACGGAAGCCGCGCTCATACCTGCCACGGGTAGAAGAGGGGTGTTTGGTCCAGGGGGACCCTGAGGGGAGCCACAATGACCAGTTCAAACAGCAGGCCCAGCAACAGCGGGATGACTCCAGCGACCAGCACAGCCACAACCACGGTCTTCAGAATCTGCACACGCACACAGTGAGAAAACACTCGAAATGATGAAGGCAACAAAAACTGTGAGCGGTAGTTCCTCATTTGATTTTCTCCTTCATTGCACAAAACTTCGACACCGCTGGCAGTCAGAGTTAACGTCGCGGTCAGGGTGTTACTCGGCGGCCACCATTCACTGAGAAAAAACCATTGTTAAAGCTCCATCTCGCGACAATGTTCCCGGTACTCACCATGAGCGTCCACTCCTGGACTTTGCGTGCGATGACGGTGCGTCCTTGGGGCATCCAGGCCAGCAGCACGGTGATGCCGCGGATTGACAGCCAGCAGACGTAGAGGCCGCACGCTGCCGTGTACAGCTCGTGGATTTTGGAGCTTCCTGTCCAGAAGGACATCAGCCAGCGCCCAGTAAACACTGGAAAAAAACAAACAAATAAAACAAACGGATAAAACAAACACAACTTCTCCTCGGGGGTTGGGGTTTAGAAAAAAAGTGAACAAAAAAAATAGAAGAAAAGCAAAGACATATGCCAAGAAATAGATTCACCCTTTAATTATGGTTTGGGTGTGGTGAGTCTGCAAAGTTGAAAAATAAATGGCTGGTCGTCCTTCATGCCACCACATCTTACCTGGTAGGGTCAGACACAGCAAGCTGGCCACCAGCAGAGTGATGCACATGAATGCTATCAGTAACACAATCTGGAGGAAAAGAAGAAAATGTTGCAATGTTAGATTTTATAAACTACAACAGGAATAGGGAGGATATCGACATAAGACGAAGGCCTTCAACATGAAGATGGATGAGTGTAATAAGAGTTGTGTAGTGGTACCTTTGCGTAGGTCAATCAAGTACAGGAAGCTGTACTTAAAACATTCATCACTCTGATTCAGAAACTGTAGTGATGAATAAAAGCCGTGGGACCTTCTCACCCTGAATGCAAAACGAAGGGGTCTGTGGTAAGGCTGGAATCCGACTGGACCTCCTTGCTGCAGAATGGCCTGATGGGCTGCGTGCAGCCCCTCCCCTACAGCGGGGTTGTTGTTGTTGTTATGGTGACCAGGAGGAGGGTTGTTGTTGTTGTTGTTGTTCACAGGCTGGTTGACATCGTTGTCATCCTGCTCCCCGAGGAGGTAGGAGTGGAGGTCTCTGTGGGGGTGGCGGGGTAAAGACAGCCAGGCTTAGGAAAACACAGCGTTATGAGGACACGCGCAGAGGTGTGTCCAAACCTGTGGACTTACAGTAAATATCCGGCGCTGACGGTCCAGGCCCTCACCAGGCCTTTGAGCCACTGGCGAGTGTGTCCCTGCTCCAATAGCGCTGGCAGCACGACCTGAAGCAGTAACAGCTCCAAAGACAGCTCGCTGACCGGGGCGTCACTGAGGGCGGAGGTGGACAAGATCAGAACAAAAAAAAAAAAAAGAAGCCATTTGCCAACCCGGTCTGTTCACAACATTTACTCAGAAAGGGAGGAGAAAGAGGCCGTTATTTCCTCTTTGGTTGAAGATGTTCGGTAAGCTGTTGTGGCTATCAGGAGGAAGTGGTTTTACACACAAACACACACACACGCCATGTTGTGGACGCAAGGCCGTTAACTCCTGTCGGGTTGTGCCTGCCGGTTACCTGTAGAGCATGACGTTGTACGGGAGGAAGACGGGCAGCAGCAGCTTGATGAGCCGGATGGGCAGCCACAGCATGAGCAGCACGATGGAGCCGAACACAACCACGGACAGGATGAACCGCCGCAGGTGTCTGTAGATGGGCAGGTGTATCATCTCCTGCACCGGGTTAAAGTCGGGGTCATTGAGGTTTCTCAGAAACCACAGCACTCCCGGCCTCAGCACCTGATCGGACAAAACGACGAGCGTGAGTGCTCACAACTAATGAATCAAAAATATAACACATTTTATATATATATATATCTCTCTCTATATATATATATAAATATATAGATATGTTTTTTATTTTATTTTTTATATTTTTTAAATATTTTTTATATGTTTGTCCAAAATGTAATCTATTCATCATTTTATTCTATTAGACATATGTGGGGAAAGAATGAATTGACATTAAAAAAAAAAGCTTTCATCAGAATCTCACCTCTCGCAGTAGGAGGATGAAGGAGGCGAAGTAGAAGACATAGACCATTCCCACTAGCCAGTGCAGGAACATGGTGGTACCGGGGGCGGATTTAAAACTCAACTCTCGGTCTTTCAGGGAGGCATCAAACATTTCCTGCAGGAAGTCACACGTTAAGAGAACACAGCATTCAGACCGGATCAAATTCAGCGTCGGTGCAAAAGGAAATGTGTCGCACTGTTTCTGAGAAGAAATCGGTTATGAATAACATTTGCACATGGGATATGCTCCGCAGATTAAAATGAAGCGAGTCCAAACGTGCAGGATGAGGGAACTCCTCCACTGCTGCTCAAACGGCGAATCCTATTCTCCACATTGGCCTTGATCACTTTTGTAAGCG